ATCGTCGTTGCAGACAGAGGCATGAAAGTAAATCTTCAAGGAGTCATCAAGCGAGAGAAGTTATAGAGGGGAAGCAAATGGAGGAGGGAGAGAAGTGCAACATGCAGTGAGAGGGACCTAAGAGGCAAGTATTCAAAACTGAAGAGCGAATTTGACAAATAAAAACATACATGTGGTTGAGTAACCTCGAAATCAACGTTATTTACAAGAATCCCCAGAGTCTTGTCTTAGATTGTTTTATCTTGACATTTCTCGAGAAAAAAACTATCTTTATAATTTACCATGTGTGTAAATTATGTAACGTCACGGTTAGTCAGCTTCTTAGTAGTTTAGTATCCATTATTAAATAAAAATTGTATCAATTATTTCAAAATGTGATTGTATGTGGTCATATGAGTATTTTGATATCCCAAAATTTTGTTTATCTTTTATCTTATTTTGTTATTTCAAATCTTATGATTTAATTAGTAGTAACATGAGACTTTTATATTGTTGAATTGTATATGTTTATCGTTTGACTTGTATAGTTTGTGTTATTGGTTTGTGCACTTTTATATTCTCATTTGTGTACCATCTCTTATTATTTTGTACACTTTATTATCTGGTTTGTATAGCTTATGTTATTAGTTTTTTTTATGTGGTGTATATATCTTGTAATACCAGTTTGGTGTTTGGATATTTTGAACTTCAATTATCTGCAGCAGAAACCAACCAAAAACCACCAACTAACAACTCTAAACAAATATTTCAAACTTCATTTTACAGTTCACCATGAGAAAAGACTCAAGATCCATTATTGCTGAATTCACTTGTATTTCTACATTGAAGAAGCCAATCCCCATCAAGTATTGCGATAGCAGCACCCTAACACTTTCGCACTTGGGTTGTACCGGTTAGAGAGTGGTATAAGATCCAACAAAACTTTCTCCCAACAACTCGAGTTATTGGGATCAACTGGTTCATGATATGATATCAGAGCCGGTTTGGCCAAGTGGTCGTGTGTTCGAATCTCCACGACTTCCAATATTAATAGTTGATTAAAACACAAAATATGGTGAGGGTGTGTTAGAGAGTGATATAAGATCCAACAGAACCTTTTCCAAACAACTCAAGTTATTGGGATCAACTAGTTCATGATAGTACCATGAGCAAGTCTGCACCTTCAAACGAAAGCCACTCACAAGGGCTTGAAGTTTGCACAGGTCTGAAGACAAGAATACCATGTGCTTAACAAATGGGATCAAAAACCAGTTGATCCCAATAACTCGAATTGTTGGAAAATATTCAATCGTTGATCATATATCACAACACTAACACAGCCAAACTACAACCCTAGTCTAGGGATATTGTACTTGTTCCAGTTTAAATGTGGCCAAGCCACCACATTGTGTTTTTTAGTGTTTTTCAGACTTTCCTCACAGTGTAGCACTGCATAAGTTTCCCTTCCACAACACATCTTCCTCACACCCAGGGATAGCAATGGGTCGGGTTGGGTCGGGTTTTGCCAAACCCAAACCCATGGGTTTATCCGTGAAAAAAACCCGGGGTAAAACCCACTGGGTTTGAAAAACTCAAACCCAACCCAACCCGCTGGGTATCCGCGGGTTCATGGGTACCCACGGGTTTTTGTCGTAAAAAATTTACAATAACAAGTTCCTATCAAAATTAAAGTCAAATATCAATCTCTCAATACAAATTATCCATATTTAAAACACCATTCTAGAAAATTCAAGCAAATCACAAATTAACTATACAAATTGTTCAACACCAATCTAGAAAACTCAAGAAAATTGAAGTAAATCATAAATTATCCATAAATAACATATTAATTGAAGGCTTCTTCCTTTCAATTAAGTTTCTTCACTCTCCACTCGATAACACAAACTTCATTCTACACAATTAGAAAGAAAAAATTAGACATGTCTCCACAAACATAAATAAGATTAGTTGTTTAAAATATTAAATATACCGAGAAAATTAATTATATGTGTGGGCGGGTACCCACGGGTCGGGTTTACCTAAACCCAAACCCAACCCAACCCGGTGAATAGTGAACGGGTTTATACCCAAACCCGACCCAAAACCCATCAACACGAATTTTACCCGCATTGACCGGGTTGGGTCGGGTAGGTACCCATGGGTTCGGGTTTGGTTGCCATCCCTACTCACACCTTCTCATATAAGACTGCATCAAAGTTCGAAGTTTAAGAATTTGATGTAGTGCCCATCCTACCTTTACCAGACTCATCTTCGTCCCATAAGAAATCTGCACACACTTTGTGAATTTGCTTGAGTATTTTATTTGAGAATACAAACACTTGAGTCCAAAATTGAATGACTTTTTTCAGAAATATCACTTTTTAAAAAAAGAATTCCAATAATACCACCAAATCCCAAAAAATTCCAAAAATACCATCCTTTTTTAAAAACCGCCACCCCACCTTGCGGTTTGCACGAAAAACGCTGGGCGGGGGCGCGGTTTTCTATGCAAACCGCTGGGCTAAGGGGCGGTTATAAAAATCGCTGGGTGGGGCGGCGGTTTTGGGCCAAACCGCCACCCCACCCAGCGGTTTGGCCCAATTTTTTTTCGATCAACTCCTAACTTCGGCCGAAACTTCAAACGAACGTAACTTTACACTCGGATATCCGATCGTAGCGATTTTTTTTTCTATTTCGCATAACTTTTCAAGATCTACAACTTTTACTAGGATGAAATTTTCAAAATAGGAATTAGTTGTGGATATACGGGACCTTGGGAATAACTTCACCTTTACTTTTCAAAAATCCATGTACATCTCGAAATTACGATTATCTTAAAATTTGTAGATCTTGAAAAGTTATGTGTAATAAAAAAAAAAATCATGACGTTCGGATTTTGGAGCACAAAGTTATGGCCGCCCAAAGTTTGACGAAATAAAAAAAGGCTCGTTCGGGGTAGCAAATGACGTTTTTTAGAGACGAAGGCGGCGGCAGTTTGAGGCTTGCAAGATCTCGAAAAGGTATGCGAAATGAAAAAAAATCGATATGATCGGATACCGGAGTGCAAAGTTACGTTCGTTTGAAGTTTCGGCCGAAGTTAGGAGTTGATCGAAAAAAAAAATTGGACCAAACCGCTGGGTGGGGTGGCGGTTTGGCCCAAAACCGCCGCCCCACCTAGCAGTTTTTATAACCACCCCTTAGCCCAGCGGTTGCATAGAAAACCGCGCCCCCGCCCAGCGGTTTTCGTGTAAACCGTAGGGTGGGGTGGCGGTTTTTGAAAGAGGTGGTATTTTTGAAATTTTTTGGGGTTGGGTGGTATTTTTGGAATTTTTTTCAAACAGTGGTACTTTTGGATTTTTTCCTGATTCCCATAAGTACAGATGAAATCAGTGGTAGCTTGAACTGACCCTATTGTAAAAGTCAGTAAATCATATAAGGGTTAAGGAAATTTTCTTAGGAGTTGTTTGGAAGTTGCGAATGTTAAATCGTTGTATTGTAATGAATTACCACAATATAAATGCATGTATTGATACAATTGATGCGTTTTAACAATACATTGTTTGGTTGTTGACATTCTACTTTATGCATTGATTTACATAAAATTACTTTTATGGGAAAATGTCATATTTACCCTCAACTTTTAGTATAAGATAATAACTATTAGAGATATAAATGAAAAGAAAAGTTGACACAAATCTAAAAGCAGCAATCACAACAATCTCAACTTTTAGTTGCGATTGTATAATGCATCATTTTTTGTGATTGTTGGTGGGACCTACCTAAAATAATGCATACATTGTTTTACACTTGGACACTTCCAAACATTGTATTGTGCACAATACATTTATTCAACAAACACAACTCTAACAATCACAACTTCCAAGTTGAGGATGAAATGAGAGTGGACCTAATTCTGTCTCCAAATTGAGCAATGAGGACAACCCCTCCATTGTTATGGCAAATAGGTATGGCGACAATGGGTCACCTTGATGGACCTTCATTGTGCCAAAAAAATCCACTCAATCTACCGTTGATAGAGATACTAAATCTAGTTGTTCTCACAAACATCAGAATCCATGACACCTACCTTTTATAAATATTGTTTTTGTTCCGAAGCAAAGATATCCGCGCGCGCGGGGGGGGGGGGGGGGGGGGGGGGGGGGGGTTGGGGTGTTAGGATAGAAAAAAACGCGTGAAGAAGAAGAAAAAAACATTTAATATAAGTTCTAGCGAAAAACTAATCGACAACAGGAAAACTGTGGGAGAAGGAAAAAAAACCTCAATGCAAGTCCTAATGGAATGAGAAGCTTGTCTAATTGACAGTTGAGAAAAATATGGGTTAAGAAAAAAAAAGTCATATATGAGAAAAGAAGAAAAACAAATTTTCATAAGTCCCAACGAAAGGGAAACTTCCCCAATCTACTGATAGAAAATGTGGATTAAGAAAAATAAATTATTTTATAATAAATCGTAAAAAAGTCGGCCGCATCTGCGAACCTCGCCCCGCCCTCCATGCCCTCAAGGTCGATTTGCTGCGGATTTGGAATTGCTCCTGCGAGGTTTCCTTCGTACCGCTGGACTGGGAACTCCTCCAGGTGATCTTCTCCTCTGGCAAGGACCTCAAGCGCATCCGTCAAAATTCTCCATGGTTCCAACCCAAGTACTTAATTCACTTGGTTTCCTTGGACAACTCCGTCTGCTGTCATAGCGGAATCCTTGCTCAGAGTTCCACTCACGCTCCAACTTTGGGGCGTTCCCTATGCGTGTTGCACAGAGAGGCTGGGGTATTTGCTGGGGACGTCGCTTGGCCCGGATGAGCCAACGACTATTCACCAATCTGAGGTGTCCGGGAAAATCTTCATCCGGGTCAAGGTTGCGTTGGATGTAACTGCCCCTCTGCCCGATGAAATCCCTGCGGAACATGAAACTTCAGGCAAAGGGGCTTTCAAGACCCAGGTGAAGTATGAGCAATTACCGCAATTTTGCTACCTTTGTGGGATCATTGGTCACCCTGGCCACCGATGCCCGAAGAAGGAGGAGCTTGGCAATCATACCCCCCCCCCCCCCGGTATGGGAGATTCACAGTGAGCCGGGATAAGGGTCCGAGGTTGAACGAGCAGACTCTGGCCCAAAAGAGGAAGTTCACCTGGTCTCGGTCCCTAGATCAGGTGAAGGAAAGTGCCGGTATTTGGGGTGTGTCCTCGCATCAAGCGGGAGAGTTAGTGGTGAATGCTCGAATGAAGAACCTTCTCATCACTGCTAGTGAAGGAAGCTCTGCTCAGTTGAGCCCCGCGACGTACACCATCACCCCTCCTGCTTCAGATGGTTTGATCCCAAAGGAAGGGTAATTGGAGAAGCTTGCTGAACCAGTGGCAAGGCATCCGCGGACAGAGGACAAGACTACTGGCAGCCCGGATGCAGGGCAGTTGAGGGTGGAGGTGACCAGCCCGGATTGGTCCCCGGAAGACAAATGAGTGTCCTGGCGTGGAATTTTCGGGGCCTGGGATCCCTCCTGACAATTCCCTCGCTAAGGGACGCCCTCCATCGCCACCTGCCCTTCCTCATCCTTCTGAGCGAAACGAAGCGGGATGATGAATTTGTTGAGGGTCAGCTTAAGAGTCTAGGTTTTAGGCATTTTCAAGCTTTTCAGGGTCGAAGTAGAGGGAGGGGGGGGGGGGGGGATTTGGCAGTAGCCTGGCCGGACCTGGTTACCTGTACAGTGTCATCTCCTAATCCCTCCTATCTAATTGTTGAATGTTTGCATCCAATTCTAGATAGGTTTGCTGTTGTCTTTGTCCACCTTAGTTGTGCTATAAATATTAGGGTGGATCAACTTAATGAAATCAGTTTGTTTGTCTCGTTGTGTGATTTGCCTACGTTTGTGTTGGGAGATTTCAATTGCTTGCTCACGTCGGCCAAAAAACAGGGAGGGCGTCCACACCCCCCCGGCTACGTTCGATCAGCTCCATAATTTCTTGCTTGCGACTAACTTCTCTGATTTGGGGTGTGTAGGTGTTCCTTTCACTTGGTCCAATCGGCAATCAGGAGCACGACATATCTTGGAACAGCTTGACAGATGTTTGGCTAACCCCCTTGCTTTGTCTTCGTGGCCTGACTTGCAGGTGCGACATTTAACCGATCTCGGCTCTGATTGCAGGATGATGTTGCTGCAATTTGCGAAACCAGCAGCCCGCAGCGGGAGACGGTTCCATTATGATATGAGATGGGACACAAATCCAGAAGTGCCAGATATATTCCAGCAGGCTTGGTCCAAGGAAGTTAGGGGAACTTTGCAATTCAAGCTTCAATCTCGACTGAAGAACTTGCGGCACGACCTAGTGGATTGGGCTCGTAAGGGAACGTCGAATTCAGCTCGGCATATTAAGGGTCTGAAGGAGAGCATTGACTTGGCCAAGGAGGCTCCAAGTGTGCAATGGGAATACATTAAAGAGTTGGAAGTACAGTTAGGGGCAACCTTTAAGGAAGAAGAGCGTTATTGGATGCAAAATTCCCGGGTTCGTTGGCTGCGGACTGGGGATGCGAATTTCCATTTCTTCCATCTTACTACACAATAAAGACGAAGAACAAATTCCATTCTCGCCCTGGAAGATGAGCAAGGAGTGCGTCACTCAAGTGAGGATGAGAAGGGTGTGATTGCAGTGGAATACTACAAAGTGCTTTCCGCCTCCACCGGCAGTGATCCAAGCGAGTATGTTGAACAACTCCAGCTACCTCATGTTGTCGATACAGAGGCAAACAGATTCCTCACAACACCGGTGACGTACGAGGAGATCCGCAAGGCTGTGTTCGCCATTGGCAAGACTCAAGCACCCGGATCAGATGGATTTACAGGAGCTTTCTACCAGAGGTTTTGGCCTGAGATTGAGTGTGACGTTTGCGAGGCAGTCATGTCCTTCTTCAACACAGGACGTCTTCTCCAGAGCATCAGTCACACATGGATTGCCTTGATCCCTAAGGTGCCTCATGCGGATACGATGAAGCAAATGCGGCCTATCAGCCTGTGTCAGGTTTTGTATAAAATAATTGCTAAAATCCTTGCTGGCCGATTGAGTTCTATTTTTCCTAACATTGTGAGTTCGTACCAAAATGGATTTGTTAAAGGTCGTTCTATTACTGATAACATTTTGATTGGCCAAGAAATTATGCAGTTCCTTAAAACGAAAACGCAGGGGAAGGATAAGTGGATGGCACTCAAGCTTGACATGGAAAAGGCGTACGACCGTGTTGAGTGGAACTTTTTGCTTGCTGTCCTGGAGGCGATGGGATTCTCTCGCACCTGGCTCAAGTGGATCCATTCCTGCATCACCACAGTGCACTTTTCAGTCCTCATGAACGGCGTTGAGTACGGCTACTTCCAACCACAGCGAGGAATCCGGCAAGGTGATCCTCTTTCCCCCCCTGTTGTTTGCTCTCTATTCTGAAGCCTTCTCTGCTCGGATTCTCTCCGAGATATCAACCTCCACATTACATGTCTTGCGTGTGCATAGGAGGGCACCCACCACTTCACACCTTCTTTTCGCGGATGACACATATATTTTTCTTCGTGCTTCCCGTCTGGAATGTGCTAACCTTCTTCATATGTTTTCTGATTATGAAACTATGAGTGGTCAAAAAGTTAACTTGCACAAGTCCTCTATGTGTGCTAGTAGTAATGTTACTGAGTTGGAATTTAATGAGCTCACTGATTTCCTGGGAGTTGCTAAGATGGGTGTAGGTGACAAATATCTTGGGCTGCCGTCTCAAGTTCATCGTTCTAAGACTCTTACATTTCAATTCGTGGAAGAGGCCTTGGCGGCCAGAATACGAAGTTGGAAAGCAAAATCTTTGTCTCTTGCAGGGAAAGAGGTGGTCATTAAGGCGGTGGGGGCTGCAGGTCCTGTGTACACGATGTCGGCTTTTCGGCTCCCCGCTGCCACCTGTCGGCGATGCAATAGCCTGTTGGCAAGATTCTGGTGGGCAGGCCAAGACAAGGAGAATGGCATTAGATGGCTCTCATGGACTGCAGCTTGCCAAAGCAAGTTTGAAGGAGGCCTGGGATTTCGTGATTTCGATCGATTCAGCGTCGCCTTCCTGGCCAATCAGGCGTGGCGCCTCCTCACGAACCCGGACAACACCCTAAGTCAGGTGTACAAGGCCCGCTATCATCCTCATTCTCAATTCCTAGCAGCTGGCAAGGGTTCCCGTCCCTCCTGGGCGTGGCAAAGGATCTTGGAAGGGCAGGATTTACTCGTTTGTGGGCTGCGTGGCAGATCGGGTCAGGAACATTAGTCCGAGTGTTAGAAGATGTCTGGCTACCCACTACTCCGCCTTCCTCGCCTGTGCTTCTGCACGGAGTGACAGCTGCCCCAAGGAAAGTGGCTGAACTGATTTGCGGCGAGTCGAGGACGTGCAAAACAGAGCTCCTTCACAGCCTGTTTGAGCCGGAATCTGTCCAAGCTATCCTCAGCATACCCTTGGGCATTCATCCGTCGGATGACCGAATGGTCTGGCATTACTCAACCTCAGGGGAGTATTCGGTGAAGACTGGGTACCATGTACTAACTAATGAATTGAATGCTCTCCATCCTCCGGTAGCTCTTCCTTTTGAGTGCAGGTTCTGGAACCTCCTGTGGAATTTGTCGGTGCCCCCGAAGCTTAAGGTTTTCTTTTGGAGAGTGGCGAGGTGCTTCCTTCCACTGCAAACAGTGCTCTTATTCAAGAAACTTGTAGATTCCCCCACCTGCCCGGTGTGTTCAGAAGGGCCAGAGACATTCGCCCATTGCTTCTTCCAATGTAGGGTGGTGCGCGAGTTATGGCACATGGCGGGTTTTGAGCAGATCCGGTCGCGCCTAGAAGCTCTGAACCCGGAGGAGGCCTGGAAGGAACTCTTCTTCTCATTGCATTTATCTAAGTTGCAGGTTTCTGACATTGTGTTCTTATGCTGGCGGATTTGGAAGGCGAGATGCTAGGCTGTGCATGGGGGTATTCAATACCTAGCTCCTGCTTTACTCAGGCAGTATCGGAACCAAGTTGAGGAGTGGCGGGCTGCTAGCACAACTTCTCAGCCGATACAAAGAGCGAACCAGACCGGCGCATCGGGACGCAGGCAAACGTAGTGGCTATGTCGGGAACGCTGCACTGCCGGCCAGGGACTGCTGGGCGAGGTTCCTATTCTGCCATTACCGTTCGTGTCGATGGAGCGATCAAGCGTGCTCGTGGTGGTAGCATAGGATTTGCAGGTTTTGATCTTAACGACAACCTGTTGATGGCGTTCGGTAAGTACTATGAGGGTATCCAAGACCCTTTTCTTGTGGAACTTTTAGGCTTGCGAGATGCAATGAATTGGTGTCTGACTCATGGGTTTTTGCATGTAAAATTCTATGGTGACGCGCTAATGGTGGTTCGTCGGGTGTTGGGCCGTGAACGTCGTCACACGTTGGGAGGACCTATCCTTGAGGACGTTCAGCAGCTCGCAAAGGGTTTTGAGTTTTGCTCTTGTTCCTATGCTAATCGCAGGTTTAACAGGGCCGCCCATCTTGTGGCAAAACAAGCCCTTTCATCGGAAGTTCGACTACTTGTTGACTTTCGCGTGTGGTTGCTCTCTGTACTCTGACTATATGACTGAACGATTTTCGTTTGTCTATGTAAAAAAAAAAATCGTAAAAAAGTGTATAGTGCGCCTTCCCATATTTCACTAGACCCATTTGAGCAAATTCGCCAATTAATATAACTAATAATAATAATAATAATTATTATTATTGGCTATAGACAGTATTATTGCAAATTTTGAATCCCCATTGATTATGACACACTTTTACGCCCGATACCCTTACAAAAGATTACCCATATTTACCTAATCACCATGAGTGCATCTCCCTGCCTCTGCCTCTTTTGCTCTAAATTCTTCCTGGCTCTGTTTTCCTTTTAACTTGCTTCTTTTTCACTTTTTCCTTTCAGGTTTCTTCTGGGGCCGATGGGGTTTTGGCCTTCACCACAAGCTTTGATCGCTCTGTACTCTTTTCGATTGCTCACATCAAAACAAAAGATCAGGCCCCTACTCCCCTTGTCAGGTAATAAAACCATGGAGGAAGAACAGCGTAGCTACTGTGGTCCTCTTATTTCCCTGTCTCGCTTATTCTGCCTTCTTCTCCTTCTCCTTCAGCTCTAATTTTTCACCGTGTCTGCCTGCCTTTCGCCTTTTGGCTCCCCATCATTTTCCACACCACAAAGTATCTTTCTTCCCCTTTCTCATTTTCACAATCTCACTCCTTACCCACCTCTTTAATTGTACCAAAGTCTCCATCTTTAGCCCACCCTTTTTCCACCTCACTGCTTAGAAGGACATTACAAAGTTATGGAAGGGAAAGGGAAGCAGAGGCTAGTTCTTGGGAGGTCGGTGAAGAAGGAATTGACCGGCGATGTCGGGTCGTCTGACGACGATGGTGAGTATCAGCATGTGGGTTACTATCTGGAACATGATTCTGAAGCTAGCAAGAAAACGAAACTGGTCATCTCTGCCTCTGCCAGCTGCCGGGGAGGAAGAAAGGCGCCTAGCGGCGGCGGCGGTGGCGGTGGGATGAGGTGCTGCCAGGCTGAGAACTGTACGACTGATCTTGTTGATGCAAAGCCGTACCACAGGAGGCATAAGGTGTGTGAGTATCACTCCAAAGCTCAGGTTGTGCTTGTTGCTGGAATGAGGCAGAGGTTTTGCCAGCAATGCAGCAGGTGATTTTTTATTTTATTTTAATAATCTTCATGTTTTGAAGCTGTCTTGTCACGAGACGACCCTTTCCTTAAGTAATTTTTCTTGAAAGTGCTGATCTTTTCATGGGTCGCTGCTGGTTCTGTGTAGAAAGTTCTGATTCTCAAATGTCTGGACTCTGTTGTTGGATTTGGGTGGTGGCCGTTGGAGCAACTAACCAAAAAAACAAAGTGGGTCTGCTTTGAAAACCCTTCAACATGGAGTTTGTTAAGCTGCTAAAAGGGACAAAGTTGGTGATACAATTAGTGGGGGACACAAACACTTGAACATTAAATATTTGTTTAAGAAGAAAACTGTTTCTAGACAGACAGAATGCAATTTAAAATAGTGATACTCCTGTTTTTTCTATATGTACTCTGCTATTATATGATTAGAGCTGTACCTTGGTTAGCATGTTAAGCTCAAGGGTTCATGCCTCCACAAAACCCTTCTTTCACTCCCTCCTCCATGTTTAAAATATAGTGGGTACTGATGTTTGGACCCATCCATCGAACTCGCTGTGTTAAATCAAACGTTAATGTTTAATCTTATACTGATTTAAATTCTCCGAGTATTATTTCATTTTCAATTTTTGACACTGGTGGACTAAACACCATACATCTCAATGAAAAAGTTCTGATACTACTTCAAGAACAAGCTCATTCACTTGTGTGTTCATCATGAGCACAATTTGATACATACATCCTTGTTCAGCTATACCAATCTGAAAGTTTCTAACTTTGCAATCGCAGATTCCACGAGCTATCAGAGTTCGACGACATGAAAAGGAGCTGCAGGAGGCGCTTGGCTGGGCACAACGAGCGAAGAAGGAAGAATGCAGCTGAACCCCATCACCATCACCATGCCTCAGCAGCAGCAGCAGAAGAAGGATCAAGCAGGAGAGGAGTGGTGGTGGAAGGGCAGTTGCAGGACATTATGTGTGGCCAAGTTGGTGATCACAGCAGCAGCAGCAGGGCACGGATCAAGATCGCCACAATCCAGGAGAATCCCACGTACAAGCATTTCCAGATCAGATGAAAAGAGAACCATTTCCCTCCATCTTCATCTCTATCTGGCTAGCTTCAAGGAGGAAATTAAAAAGAAATTGCTCTCTCTCTTCTGTCATCCTCTTCCAAGCCCATGTTTTCTTAATTGACTTCACTCCCAGCGTTTCTGTACTCGTAATAAACTGAGCACAATCATGAAGGTCTCCTGTAACTAGGCTGCTTAGGTATGCTGTGGTGTTAGCTGAACATTAATGCTTGCATGGCAGACTGTGATTTAAAGCTACTGGAATTTGGTATTGTTTGTATAACAGTAACTAACCTGGGGATCAGGGTTGTTAATGACTTTGTACTATGTACGTAAGTTGATGTGATAATGTTTATATGCTTGTGTTGTTTTCTGTACAAGTTTTCTGTCCTCAATCACCATCTAGGTGTGACTTGTGAAGCACTGGAAAAATAACAAGGAAACAAGAGGAACAGTTTCATGGGAGCCTGACAGTAGTAGTACTAAGTACTAATATATGCTTGTGCTGTGCCCATGTGACTGTTGTCAGAGTTTTCGTTTTGTTGCACTTGCTGCATTCTTGAGATAATTAGATTACTTCATGGAAATTTTTTGAATGGGTGGTTTGTACATTCGAGATATTTGGTTCAGGTACTTTAGTTATAGGTAGTTGAGCTTTTTTTTTAATAGTAATCTGTGAGCTTTTATTGAGGTGAAACTGTTACATCATCCAAACGAAGTTGGTCTAAAAGAATTATTGGTGGCGTATCAAACCACACAACTGTTTCCTCCCATCCTGTTCTAACAGTCGCCATCGTATGTGCTGCATTATTTGTTTCTCGATAAACATGGTGCCACGTACCTCCTTCAGCTTCGGCCAACAAGCGTCTCACACTCCGGCAAACCACTCCAACCTCCGTCTGATTTGTCATCGCTTTGTTGATTCGTTGTGTAACTAGTAAACTGTCCATCTCCAGGATTGGTCGTTCCACTCTATGTTGCATTGCCAGCTGACAACCCAGCTCGGCTGGCAAAGCTTCAGCCATTTCCACCACAAATGCCCCCCGGGAACGCCTCGCCGCTGCAAACAGGAATCTACCATTCGAGTCCCTGGCCACTACTCCAAGACCTACTCCCCCCTCACACAAACCCGCATCGGTATTAATCTTGATCCACCCCGGTGGTGGTCTACGCCATCGTCCATGTCGTCCCTGTCTCACAATCTCCGGATTCTATTCTTGTTGGCTATGATATTCGTCGAGGTAAGATAAAACTGTTGGAAATTTGGTAGAACCGGTCGTCCCTAAAAGTCCCAACAAAAACTCTAGCAAAAATCTCAGTCTCCTCTGTCTTTGATCCATTGAAGAGGTGTGCATTCCTTTCCTTCCATATAGCCCATAGAAACACAATCCATTCTTCTGTCTCCCGCTGCGAAGCTTCTTTTATCACCTTCCAAACCCAATCCATGCATCCCAGTGCTCCTCTTATATTAAACCACTACGCCAAATGGGTAGGTCTCCATAGCCGGCTTGTCCACTCACATTGCCCAATAAATGAATCTGGGTCTCTGGTAGGTCGCAAAACGGGCATGCATCGCCTCTTCGTTGGCTTCGGGTACTCATGTGATCACCTGTAGCCAGTACGTTACGAGCCATCTTCCACACAAAATGGCGGACCTTGGGGGGGGGGGGGGGGGGGGGAACATTCAGAGCCCATATCTGTTTCCACATTTCCAGCGTTCCCACTACTTCAATACCATTCGCCTGTTTAAACTCCTCGACCCACAACCGATACCCATCCCGAACCGTATAGCATCCTGAACTGTTGTTTGCCAATATCAGCTTATCCGGCTCTCTACAGTCTCGGAGTGGGATTGTCCGTATGGTCGCAGCAACTGCCGCAGGGAAACAACTCTCAAGAAGAGCTTTGTCCCATCTCTCTATCTCAGGATCAATCAGGTCTCGGACTTTTGAATCTACCGGGAGGCCCATCGATGACGACGGGACAAAAAATCCCGGGGAGCTTGCTAACCATCTGTCACCCCAGATACGCACCGAGTCTCCATTCCTTATCCTCCATCGCATCCCTTTCTGTAGAAACTCTTGTGCCCCCATAAGACTAGGCCATATGAAACTTGGTCGATATCCAACTTCTGCCTCCATAATTTCCGAATGCCGGTGGTACTTTTCCTTCAAAATTTATGCTACAAGAGATGATGGCCTTTGCTGCAGGTGCCATAGTTGCCTCGCCAGGAGCGCAACGTTAAAACCACGAAGGTCCCTGAAGCCCATCCCACCTTCTCTTGTCGAGCAAACTAAAGAGTTCCTCGCCACCCATAGAATTCTACTTTCCTCCCCCTTTTGTCCCCACTAGAATCGCATAATCATACTGTGAATATCCTCAATTATGCCTTCCGGAATTTTGAATACCGACATCATATAAGTAAGTTGTGCTTGAGCCACCGACTTGATCAATACCTCTTTTGCTGCCACCGACATATGCCTTTCTTTCCAACTCGTAAGCTTCTTCCTTACCCTTTCCTTGAGATAGGCAAATAGCTCTTTTCTCGCCCTACCCACCTCCGTTACCAAACCCAGATACTTATGATGCTTCTCCACTCGCTTCGTCCCCAACACAGAACTGACCGAGAGCCACTGATGGGGTGTCACGTACTTACTAAAGGATACTTCGGACTTCTCAAAGCTTGCAAGCTGGCCCGACTCCTTCTCGTAATCCTTTAAGATTTTTTTCAATGCTTTCCCTTCCTGTACAGTTGCCCTGGCAAAAAAGATAGCATCTTCAGCAAAAAAAGTGGGAGATTGTCGGGGCAGCTCTAATAACCTTCAATCCATGGAGCAAAAAACAGGTTGAGCTGAAATACCTTTTCCAGTGGTAATAAGAAAATTTGAAGTTACTGTGTGTCAGAAACTCATTATTTTGGGTTTATTTGTCGTCAATTATTATTCGGGATATTTGATGTTATGTTGGATATTTTGATAACTATCGACCTCAGCTTCTCTCTCACCCAATTCCCAATTCTTTCTCATCCAAATCTCTAATTCTCTTATCAATCGCAAACCCCAAATCGCACACCTAGATCCGTGTTCTTTTAGTGGTATCAGAGCATGGTTGGTGTGCCGATTTTCTAACAATGACGAATCCAACGGATAAACCGCAGCAACATCGACATGACAAGGAGGTCGTGATAGATAAGGACGTGACTACAAACAAGTAAGATGCGATTGCATCATCATTGGAAAGCCTGACCAAGGCTACTAAGACGGCGGACACAACGTTGAGGGCTCGATCGACGCCATTGAAGCCATGGTCGGCCATAACAGGACCTCGATCGAGGAGATGGGCAAGAGTGTGTCTGAAAACATATGCTCGCCCCTAGCGGAAACGATGAGGGAAGTGTTGACCTAGGGAAACTAGACATTTTCGGCGGCGACGACATGACGGCGGGGAAGGAGGCTGCGCGGCTCGAGACTGGGGCCTCGGCGGGCGACATCACAGCGTCAAAGAGCCCTACCGCGTTGGCGGTCCATGACGCATAAGAAGGGAGCAAGGGCGTGACGGTTGTGCCGAGACTGGTGTTTAGCGGGCTGGGATTGCTGGGATCCCCTATGGCCCAAGAGATCAATGGGAAACTGGTCAATTACGTCGGGGAGCTGTGGTCGACTGGGCCACGGAGAGAGTGGATGGGGATGCAGGATGGGCCAATCTTAAATAGACTAGGCCCGGAAAGGAAGGAGATGAGTTGAGTTTCCCGAGCTAGGAGGGCTGGTGGGTGGACCCTAGGCCCGCAGGGGGTGGACGAGGATGGATCGCGAACCCGAATTAGGGTCGAACCGGACTGCCAACTGGACCACTGACTGGTCAAAAGAGAATCGGTTGAACTGGTCCGAAAGAAACCGGGTCAGCAGCCGACATGTAGCAGTTGGGGCATGACTTCTGGAGGTACTAGGGGCTCTCCAACGAGGGCCAGATTCAGGTTACCCCCCCCCCCCCCCCCAACTCTTTGGGAGGACCGGGGACGAGGCCAGCAAGTCTTGGAAGTGGGACAAGGGTCCAGGACTAAACCCGGGCACGACGAGGACTACTAGAGAAACTTGGGCTACTGGCCCTATTCTCAACAGCAGTGGACCGCACCTGGCTAACATCACGGCGGACCTGGGCGCCGGCAACCGCCGACGGACTCAAACGGTTATGGACACCACAACCCCTTGTATGATTATGATGATGAACTGGTGTTTAGAATCAAGCCTTCGGTCATAGAGTTCCCTAAATTTGATGGTCATGGAAACGTGGGGCTGTGGCTGTATGCGACAGAGAGGTGGTTCAAGAATCACTCGGTCAGAGAGGAGATGAATATGCAAGAGGTAACATGAGATTTGCTTGCTGTACCAGTGACCTCTGTGGCCTCTGAGTCAGCCTGCAACCCTGGTGGTAGGTTGTTAGATTCTCACCGAAGTAAGATGCACTTTGAAACTGTTGAGGCACTCATATGCACCCGTAGCTGGATTCAAAGTGACATTTGCAAAGGTAAGAGGTGTTTTTTTTTTTGTTATTGTCAGCTTTGCTCGAAGGTCATTGAAAACTTTGTTAACTACTCTAATTTTTTTGCAGAAGCTGGAAATGCTGACATTCAAGGTTTTGAAAGTTGCTTCTCTGCATTGACAATGGATGATCCAAGTTGTGAAGACTTTAAGAAAGAAGGTAAGTTCGTTGCTGGTCTGTTTTATCAATAATGAACAATTACTTTAAGTAGTTAAGTTAGTAGACAACTGTAACATCCCGTTCCGGCAAAACCCATATTTCGATCGCTAGAAAGTTCGCGATTTAAAATCGAGCATTTCGACACTATTTCGGCGAAAATCGGATTATCGATCGATCGGATAAGTATACGTATTAACTATATATATAATAAAAGTGAAAAGAAAAAGGAAATGAAATAAGAAAAACAAAGCATCGGTTGTATGTATATTAAATACATCCACCGCCTTTCCATTTGTTCCCATCCCATTCTTTCTGTCCCATTTATATATCATATCCATCCCAATTCTTTCTCCCCATCGTCATTTTCGTAATCGAGAGAAACAGAGCGCGCAGGGGAGGTTTGGGAGATTTCAGCTAAGGTAATTTGTAAGGTTCTGGATGTAGGAAAATTCCACAATCGTCAGATACCACTTCTATCGAACCTAATTCTTCAATCTCCGGGCTTATATCTAAGTTTCGGATAAGAATTTTATGTTTTCCCGATCGATGGATTTGGGAGGTTTGGAGGATTCAGAAGCCGGATTGAGCCCAAATTTCATATACGAGCTTCCTGCAGCGAGGTAATCAATCCCCTAGTTCTAATTCCTGATTTTCGGCTATTATTTAGGCCGGGGTCCAAACCGCTGAATTTAGCTCCGGCCAGGGTTGATGTGTTTTTACCAAGAATTTGACCCGGAGCCTAGAACTAATATTGACGGGGATACTGCAGGGGATATTAGGACGGTCTCGGATTTTAATTCGGGGTTCGTTCGTGAAATTGATGTTTTAGTACGGGAGGCTAGAACCGGTGTTTGAACGACCAGAACTGGTGAGGGATTAGCACGGCATACCGGGTTTGTCATATCACGATAATTATTTTGATGCTTAGAATTGACCTAGGTGAACTAGAATGGCATGATTAGGGGTGTATGGACTTTTGTGTTATATGATGAACCCTGGACTGTTGTATGATATTATTGATTTGCCCTAGCCGATATGGACCTTGTTTATGTTGATGATTGCATACATGTTGCCATGTGTGGCTTAACCGTTGATATGAATTCATGGTTGTTCGATCAGGTGTTTTGATATGATGTGATATTGTGGTTGTATTTGGATTCACAAGTGGGGGAAATAAACTTCCCAGGGTGATATTATGATGTTTTAAGCAGGATGACTTGCACGAGGGTTTATCCCGAGGAAGTGCAATTATGCGACTCCTGATTTACCTATGTTGAGCCAATGGTGGCCTGGTCAAGTACATGTGCAAGTAATGAATTATGATTAAGCAAGATGAGATATGAATCATGTATAAGGATACCAAATATGAGTGTTGTGGTCTCACGGTCAACTACATAGTAATTAGGGCTCCCTATGTTATTACTCTATTATGATATGATAGTCACACCTCTCATGTGGTGGTGACTGAAGAATTCTTACGAGATATGACCACACCCAGAGTGGTGTCGGGGTATGACTACACCCATAGTGGTGTGGGGTATGTATGACCACATCCGACGGGATGTTGGGGTATGTATGACTACATCCGACAGGATGTGGGGTATGTTTCCCGGGAGAGTTATTAGCATGGGAGTAGCCAGGCGCCTATGATTAAAACATGATAAGATGCATATGCATAAGTCAAAGTGGTTGAGTCTTTTGCTTATTGGGATATGAGGATGGCTGAGGTCCGATCCTAGTGTTTTGGCTTGTCTGCTAGATGTATAGTAGGGGTATGCTCTGTTATGAACTCACTATGCGATGATTATCTCACTCAGCTATGAGCTGACCCTCTTTTATTCTTCTTCTCTGCTTATGCTATGTGTAAGCAGATCATCAGCAGCAGCAGTAGATAAGTGTTAGGTGGGAGAGGAGCTAGAGTTGAAGCCAGGATGAGGTATGGTCTTCAACTATTTGGTGCTTGGACTACTACTTGGGATTTTGGCCAGTGATCCACACCCTTTTTGTAAAAATGTTTTGAGAACATTTTCATGTGCATACTAGCTTCGAATGTAGTGTGAGATATCCACAGGTGTGGAAAGTTAATGATATGTGTATATGTTGTGTAACTGTGTAAGTTGTGACGATTATGGTATGTATAAGTATGGTATGCAGTTAGGAAGTATGAAAAGTGTGACTATGGCTAAGAAAAGCCAATGCATATGGTTGTGAGTATATATGTTTGTGATGAATTATTTTGCAGGTTCAGTTGCAAGAACTGTTAGCCCATTACGCGAGTAATTCATGTCGAAATTTTATTTAGGTAAAATTTGATAATTAATGTAACACCCGAGATTAATTCCGCTGCAATTGTATGAACAATATGATTAGGCAAAACGTATAGGGTAGGGTGTTACAACAACAGTTAACCAATACCTTCAATTGCCACAGATCTTCAAGGTAGCTAGAGTCGTACAATCTTGGACATTGAAGATTGAACATGGACAAGATTTAAAGTGGTTGCTAGCTTGTTGCTGCTGATTGCTTGATGTTGTGATGCTACTGATTCGCTTGATGGTGATGCTTGAGAAGATTGAAGGGTGAAGAGAACTGCTATTGAGTGCTGGCTAGTGGCTGCTGCTGTTGAAGACATTGCTCATTTTGATTGAATTTGCTCATTTTTTTGGTTTGTTGAAGATTGAACATTTTGGAACTTTTTTTGTTTTGTTTCTAACTTCATGGATGTTCGAATCCAATTTGGAATTTGTTTTCTTTTGTGTGGATGATGAATTGGTGATTCCTGGTTTATGGATTTCATATGCAATTTATGCCGTTTTCAAGTTCAATTAAATGTAGTGTCTTTTATTTTGTTGGTCTTATCAATTTTTTGTTGTAGCAGGTAAACCCACTATGACAAGCGTAAACCCGTTACCCGTTGGTTTCGGGCCTGGGCCTCAAAACGCGCCCGATAGTGCTAATGGGGCGGATTCGGGAAAATGCGATAGCATTTCGATCGGGTTGCAGATAGACCCTTCCCGGCCCCGATCTCTCCCGTTGCCAAGCCTACTTCTCTCCCATTAACCCCCCATGCCCATTAATCCCACCACCCAATTCAAACCCCTCATCCATTCCTTTTTCCTTTCCCAATGGCAGAAGAAAGAAAGAAAGAAATCAAGAAAGAAAAAATGAAGAAGAAAGGAAGGAAGGAAGAAAGGAGCGATTGTCCGAGCTCCCCACCACTCGACGTACGATTGACGTTGATAGCCGGATTCGCCTCTTCCCAAAATATCGCTGAACCCTCAATCTCTGCCCTCTTCTTTGTACCCCAGACGTAAGGATATAGACCTCCAATCGTTCTCCAAGCTTGGTTTCACTCAAACTAGCCCAAACCACGTGCTTGTGAATCGTAGCTTCGACGATGATGTTATGAGGATTTGAACGACGTTAGAGCAAGGAGGTCAACGTCCAGAATCATCAAAAATTCCTTTAGGCTCGTGTAAAGGTAAGGACCTCAATCCCGACGTTTAGATTGAGCTATGAATGAGTTTCTTCATATATGCATATTTCTGGATTTTTAGAGATGGAATTACAGTCCTTTAGCAATGGAATAAAGGTCATCGCTAAAACTACTAGGAAATTATTTAGATCAGTTCCCCCATGGAATTACAGTCCTTTAGCAATGGAATAAAGGTCATCGCTAAAACTAATAGGAAATTATTTAGATCAGTCCCCCCACCCCCCAAATTCCAGTATGAATAGCTTAGTCCCCAATGTTTTGATTGTTCACAGTTTGGCCCGAAAATCATATTTCTCTGGGATGTGGTTATTTTCGATTATGTACGGTGGATATTTTCATGTTATGATAATTTTAGTAATTATAGAAATTTTTTGTAATGTTTATATATTAATTTGAAATTTTTTAGAGTCAATTTGCTAATTATAAAAATTAATAAAAGGTCTATTTTTAAAAATACCTATGGTATAGAAATAATAAATCATATATATATTCTGTCAGGTTGATTCTTGAAAACTAGTCTGGTGATTCGAATCTGAACAACTCTTTATCTGCTTGATTTTATCTTGGTTTATTTGTGTTGTCGATTTTATGCTTTAGTAGTCAATAGTTAATATTTATCAATCAAACCAATCACTAAAATAATCGGTTAGATAGTAGGAAGTATTGCTAATTACTAGTAGTCATTGTCTTTGCCATTATATTGCTTCTATGACAGGTACACTTGCCTTAGGTCGCAGTTGGAAAAAGGAGATCAAAAGTTCTCCTCAAACTTTCTATGGCATGGTGGCGATTTCAACAAAGCAAAAATGGCCCTGCTTCCGAAAAGGAAGGGGAATGAGACTGAGAGACTTCGTCTCTTAAAATCAAACTTGTATTGTGCACATTTATAGCTGTTATTGATGAAATATGGACGATCTAGGTAACTGGAAGACCCGAAGATCATGCCCTCCATTTGGAATGGCCAAAAATCCTACTTTTTATGTCTAGACTTGATGACCTGATGATCCTCATTTTGCTTGAATTCAAAGCTCAAACACTCACTCCTATTTAATAGTTGTAAGTAGTTGTACTTCTCGAGAGCTCATGTATAGCCAGTGAGATTAAGTGAATCGGTTTACACTTTACATTTAACCGTTATAGTACTTTGTGTCATTTTAAATTCTTCCAAAGAACAAGAAAGGAAACTACAACAGTAAGTCCTTTCAAGCGTGGATTGTTTCAGCCAATTTTTTGGGAGAATTGTTCCCTCTTGATCTGGATCTAGTTTTCTCTTGCCAAGCTTGCTCCTCCGCAGCTCCCAATTCATGATCAAGCCCTGGCAAGATTATGAGAGAGGAAAGGAACTTAAAGGCACAACTTACTCAGCCAATTGACATAAAACTTCACACAACAAACTAGTCAGGATAGACATATATACTAGTTGGTTTTTTCCCTCGAAGGATGAAGAAATCAGACGTGTAATATATGTATATACATAATATTACCTGCACCTGAAGGGTGGAGAATACCCGGTCCAATCAAACGAAACCCCGTTTCTCGATTCAGGAGGCAACGCCGAGAAACGCTTCCAATCCCGGAGCAAGTTTCTGAGGTCGTGCACCTTGGTGTCCAGCCCGACGCAGCAGTTAGCATGCATGGTGCAGGCGACGTTGAGGTCCTTGACCGGCTCGCAGAAGCCGCCGAAGTAGGCGGTGTCGAGGAACCTCATCTTCAACCCGACGATGGCGTCGTCGTCGTCGAACTTGATCCGGTTGAAGACGTCTTGGTCGTGCTCGCCGGGGAACCTGTCCTTGGAGCGGTACCAGTGTTTGTAGAAGCGGACCGTCCTGGGGTTGGATCTGACGAAGGTGAAGCCCGTGTTGGGAAGGTTGTCGCGGTTGGAGTCGTCGCCTAGGTGCATGTCGCACGACACTTGGAAGTCGGCGTCCTCGTGGAACCGCGGGAATGGGTTTCGAAACCACAATATATCTGCATCCTGCGCAACACATAGCATGCATGCAATGCAACTTTAGTACTCTCCATAAATCCTTCGGTACAATTAAATTCTAGCTTCCGCTACTAGTACAAGTTACAACAACAAAAACTCACCGAAGCTCGACAAATATCTTTCACTATATTCTACTAGACAATTATTTATGAACTCGTTGTCTATTCTATTTCGAACCTTGTTCTTGATGTAAACCAAAGCAGTAAAAAGCTCTCTCCTCAACACTTGCAGTTGCAATGCGAATAAAAGATGAGCACTTTTACTATGCTATATAGCATTAGTACTGCTTTAATGTACAATTCAAAGTTGTACCATAACATTAAATGTATAAGTTTAGCTTGTACCATAAAGTAATTTGCACAATTATGTTATGGTACAACTTTACAACTTGAAATTGTACCATCACTTAAAGGTACAAGTTCAAGTTGTACCATAAAAGAATTTGTACAATAAGTATAGGTACAATCTAAAGTTGTACCATAACGTAAATGTACAATTTAAGTTGTACCATAAAGGCAAAAACCTATAGCACCAATACTATATAGCATTGTAAAATTTCTCATAAAAGATTGGTCTAGTGATATTACCATTGATCTTGAATCTCAATATCTCTAATTCGAATCTCTTAATTAAATAACACCTAATTATAAAAGAAACCTAAGTTACCCTTGTAAAAAAAAAACACTTACAGATAACACATCATTCTTAACCCAATAATTATAATTCTTAAATACGAAGGGATCCGAGAAATTTCAGATTGCATGTCACAATTATTGCGCACTTGCTCTGCTGGTGGGAGAAGAAAGCGGAAGGGAGAAGGAATGTGATTTTCGGGATCCATTATTTTCTAAAATTAACACTCTCGCTCATGTTCTCGCTCCCGCTCCGTATGAATTGGTTACCTAAAGCCATGGTCCATGAAACCGTACCGGAGACCGTATCGGGAAAGTGGGCGGTAGGGTATTTTATAGTAAAATCGTGGTTTAACCGTAGTTCAACCGTTATACCGATAAATACCGCATATTGGTTTAGCCTCCGATACTGGTATTTCGTGATTGAACCGCCGATACGGTTTCATGGATACAACTTAAAACCCTTATGAGACTCAATCGAACCAATTTAAACAAATCTTATGGAGTAATTGAGTCCAACTGAATTAATATCTCTAAATAAGTGGGTCAAGCAATCGGGTCAAGAGATCAGACGACTCTACTCATCAATCATCACCATTCAAGGTTATGCAGAAAGTAAGGGGGAAAAAAATAGGAGGGAGAAGAATAAATCCATAATAACATGAATTTACCGTGGAGACGAAGTTGTATCCCAGGCGCAAAACAGAGCCTAAGAAGTCGATGCGGCGCCACACGACGAGCAAGTACTCTTGGGTCATGAATGTGGCGTCGCCTGTGAAATTCACTCCCGGCGTGGTCAGCGCGTAACAGTGCGGGTGGATTTCCTGGCACCGCTCGTAGGCCCTCTGGTCCAGAGACACGATCACCAAATGCTTCACCAGTTCTTGCGTCCCGTCGCCGACCGAAAACCCTTCCAGAAAAACGTCCAGAATCGACCCTCGCTCCACCCACGCTTTGTTTATCATGGTCAGGATCACCGTGGATTTCGATCGCCTACCCGCCGTCGCCAATGCTGTGCTCCTCAGTACTCTGACCAGCTCTGGGTCTTCCTCCTGCGTTTTCATGACGATTTGGAATAAACCAGTTTGGTCGAGGAGGGGTTGCCCCTGAAAATAAGAAACGCAAAGAAATGGCGGGTGCAAGCAAAAGGGAGCTCACCGGCGACAATAGGAGCTTCGTCGTCGAGAAAGGGGAAGAGCAGAGGGAGCAGTAAACGACAAGGCAGCAGAAGCTGATTCCAAGGGAGACAGCGACCGAGAGTTTCAGGTTGCTCCACCGTCCTCGGAGGATATGGCGGGCGTTCTTGTTGTTGCCGGACAAAAAAGAATTCGGTGACATCCTGCTCAAGTTTTCTTCGAGCATATGATGCTCAATGGTACCGTTGCAGCCGGAAAACCTCCCTGGCCCTGCTCAGAATGAAACGAACCACAGCTCCTAGATCGCTGATTAATTAGCTAACCAAGTTACATCAAGAGTCCACTTCCTAGACGAAGAGTCGTCTCATCTTAGCAAGCAAGATATTAATGACTAGTCCTCTTCAGAAAATTTCAGGCTTTTTACGTGAGAGCTAAGTCGCAAGGTACAATTAAGAAATTCAGTCTGTCATATGAAAAATTGACAAAGGTAATCGGCCGATCCAACTGTCTCAGCAAGTACAAATTTTTCACATAGTAATAAGCAAAGCAGTGGACTATAATGTTGGACCGAAGCTAGCTCAAACGTAATATGCTAACATTCCATTTCCATGAAACCTCTTAATCATTGAGGGAAAAGAAGACTGAACAAAAATGCACCAACGAAATTTCATCATCAAACAAGCCCAGCAGCAGCAGAACACAGATGAAATTTCACTGCACTACAAGTCGGGGAAACGGCATAACATGAGTTAACAGTTGAAGAAAGTACAGGTTCAGAACAAAACAGCAGCAAAAAATTCAAAAACATATCAAAATCGAAACTATCATCAGCTCTTCCCACGCATTTACTCTGTATTTCTTTCCGGCATTGCCCTAGCAATCACTTTGTTCCACGTCCGGCTCTCTGGTAGTTTGCTACCTACCTATATATGGAAGACAAGAGACTCTTCAGTAAGCACTACTTCAAGTTCCATAAGTGCAATTAAAAAAGAAGAAGAAAAGCAAAAGGTAGCTGCCGTTATTCAATTTGAATGGGGGGTTGTGCTTCTTTTGACCTGGTCAAGAAGATGGCCGTGGGGCTTCCAGGAGAGGGCGCATTCTGGTCCAAGAGAGAGGCAAGGGAGCCAGCTCTAGCCTTGTCGTTAGGATCTGAGGCTGATAAAATTTCAACAACTTCAAGACCCAGCTGTCTCTTGATCAGCTCCAGGTTCTCCTTCAGAACTTCAATCTCTCCAAAAGGTAGCCTCACATCCAATGCCTGAACCCCTATTGCAACGGCTTCGTCCTTCTTGAACCTCACAAATGGCATGTACTGCTTCTGGAACTGCTTGAAGTTCGAACCCTGGAAAAGTGGGCTTGCTTGCAATGCCTGCAATATCTCGCCATCGGGTGCAAAAGTTCGAGTATTGCCATCAAACTTGCTTTGGAGTATCCTCAAACATTCCGATTTCCGCTCATCAAACTTTTCGTTGACATAAATTAACCCTGTTAATTTGTTCTCAGTCGAGGCAGCTGTAACCGGTGCTGCATCTTTCTTGTTTCCTTTCTTTGGACCAGAAAGTTGCTTCTGGAGCAACTTCCTCATCAGAACAATGGAGTCCTGCAGGTACTTGTTGGCTGCCTTCAACTTCAGATCAGGAGAACCTGCAGTGGGCCAACCGGCTTTCACTGCCAACCCGTCCTTCTTTAGAAGCTCCCTCCGTACATATTCAGCATAGTGTGGACAAATTGGAGTAATGAGGCGAGTCTGCACATCCATAAATCGGAAAACCAGGTCATAGTTCATCCCTCCACTGCCACAAGAGAATCTGTACTCATCTCTTGCAGTTTGCAGATCATAGAATCCGGTCTTCAATGCCTCTCTGAACATGCAATTACTGTAACTCTCTTCCGTCATCTTGACCGCAATGTTTATCTCATTCTCAAACACACGATCAGCATAAGTTGATGGAGGGCCTGCCCTGAGAGAGGATGATTCAGCCAGAACTTCTTCCATCCACGCAATCTCCTTGGTAAGGCGGAGGATTGCCGAATTGGCGGTTTCAAATACGAAATTAGCATCATCAACACCATCTCCAGCATCAGCCAGCGAGAATCTCGTTGCATCAGCTGAGAATTCCTCAATCGCCTGTTTCAACGTTCTGAAATTGCCAGTTGACTTGGACATCTTCTCAGAGTTGAGCATAATATGTCCATTGCACCTGAATCCACGTGGCCAGTGCTTCTTATCCATGATTGCTACATGGTTGTATATGGAGAAGGTCAAGTGGTTCTGGATAAGGTCCTTGCCTGAGACTCGCAAGTCAAACGGATACCAGTAGTCAAATTCCATCTTCATCTTATCAAGTACTGCTGCTGGTATACCAGAGGATTTGGGGTATGGACCACCACAGAGGATGAACTCCCAAACTTCATCAGTCATTTGCGAAGGTTGAATTGGATGCTTGTTTGTACCATACATGTCTTCGTTATGCAGGAAGTGGGAAACAGTATAGTAAGCCATGTAAATGGTGGAGTCAGACAAGGACTCAACGAGAAATTCCTTGTCCCACGGAATGCGAGTCCCAAGACCAAATGATCGTGAGCACGCCCACTGATTCAGCCAGCTCAAAGTGTGCTCAAACCCATGGCGTGTCTCATCAGAATAGAGGTTCATACTGCTCAGGCATTCCTCGGCCAGTTTCTTCCATTCTGCTTCTCCATATGTTATGTACCATTGATCAGTAAGTGCCACAACGCATTCATCACCCGATCTTGACATGACTCGCTTTTCAGGCTCACTATACAAAATTCCTTGGCCTGTCTCAATAAGTTTGGTTCGAAGCAATGGTTTTGCTTCTTGGACTTTCATCCCTGCATATTCTCCAACAAGCATTGTTCCCTCAGTAAACCCTCTGAGGTACGTGAGCCGTTTAGCTTCAGCAAGCTTCTCCTTCTCGTTCTGGCTCTTAATTTTCAGATCAATGCAGACCTTTTCAGCTGCCTTATCCCCGAACTCGGGAATGTTAATTATTGGCAGAATTTCAAAGGGCATTATCCACTCATCCTCGACCCCATATTTGGCCCTGAAAGCCAGTTTTGCTTTGAGATCATGCAAAGCCATATAGTCATCAGGGGCATCACTAGGCACACTGGTGACGATCCCGGTGCCTTTGTCTGTTAGGATGGTCAACATTGGAAGAGCGTATATGACTTCATTGCCCGAAAGAGGAGACCTCAAAGGAAGGCCAATCAGGTCATAACCAGTCAGCTCCATCAAGCAAGTAGGCTTCTGAGGGATTCTAGAGAAGTTCTGATATGCTAGGTTAAGGGCCGCCCGAGCTGTGATGACAAACACATCAGTTTCATTAATTTCAAAAGCTCCATATTCACCATCCGGCAACACCCAGGCATTCGTTTGCCCATACATAGTCTCTGGCCTCAGAGTAGCAGCAGCTAGGAAAACGTTTTTCCCCTCCAAAGGTCCCAACTTCGTAGGAAAAGGCCTTAAGACTTCCATCTTGATGAGGGTATACTCTTGGGGAAGAACTCCCTCACCAGATGCCCTGTCGTGATCTGCACAAGGCTGGCCATCTAAAGGAGAGTAAATTGTGTATCTAACGTCCTTCACAATCTTACCCATAGCATAGAGCTTCCTCATCTGCCACTGCACAAAAGAGTCGAAGTAGGGATTTATATCTGTCGTAACGAAGGAGCGCCTCCAATCACAACCCAAGCCAAAAGCCTTGAGATCCTCCATAGCCAATGGCGGGAAGAACCTTAACCACTCATATGGATCCTGAAACTTTGCAATCTCTTCATCAGTTAGCCCAAAACTACGCATGATCTCCCATTGGAACACTTGCCCACCGGCTTTAGATGCTGCCTTGGACTTTTTGCCCTTGAATTTATCTGGTTGGCCAGATACATTTTCATCCCCTTGCTCTGGTTTTTTTGGTTCTTCTGGCTCAGCGGCTGGTCCAGGGAACACAGGAGGGTTACCGAATTGTTGAATTTCACGGCGAAGCTTATCAGCAGATGCCTTAATGGGCATGCCGGTGCAGTGGAAAGCAAACGGAAGAAGCACATTGGCACCCCTCAATCTATGATAAGCGGCAGCAAACTCCAGCTTCGAAAGAGAGAAAGCATGGCCAAGGTGCAAATAACCATTCATGTAGGGAAATGGAAAATTGCCAAAGAACTTCTCCCCGGGCTTGGGAGGTTTTTCACATGGCTCAGCTCTGAAAACGTCTACCTCATTCCACCAACTTCTAGCCTTTGCCTCGATCTCCAAGAGGTGATCCCTCCTTTTCAAGCTTTTCCCACTCTCCGCCGCCATTTCACAGAATTTACGAATACTGCAAAAAGGAATCAGCCAAGTTAGCCAACTTGAGAATACCAACGTGTGCAAGAACTGAAGGCAGAATTCGGGAAAGGATTCCTCATCACACATAGAGCGCAAATTAAGACCAAATCAAAGCAACGAAGAGCTATCCATCGACGAAGAAACCCAGATAGAGGAAACCAATCGGACGAATCGAAATTCAATGAAGTCAAAAAGTAACTGAAGAAGAAAGAAACCCCACCTGCGATTTATGACCGGCGGGTGAAGGGCACGACGAGAGAAGCAGACCGTCGCAATCCTTCCGTAGCTCCTTGATAGTGTTCCCCTACATTGACTGAGGGTTTTGTTCACTTTGGAGTCCAGAAATTTGGGGATTTGAACAGGGAGGAGTATGCAACGAAGGTCGGTGGTCACTTGCCTGGATGAAGGACGGTGGAGGAGGATGTTTCGACGAGGGAGACGGCGGAGGACGGAGGTCTTCTTCTTCTGTTGGGCAGTTCGAGGAGGTGGAGCGGACGAGTCTCAAGGGGATTACTGATTAGGAATTACTAGATACCCAAAACCCTAGTGCCCTTTATAAAAATTAAAAATTAAAAAAACCTAGTGCCCACGTGGACGAATCGGATGGCATTCACGATAAGATACTGTGGGCGGCTGCAGCGGAACGCATGCAGACAAGATGAATAGAAGATCTGTCTGAAGTCCGTGCTGTTGGTGTTGGTCTAGATTGGCTTATGGACAATTTAGTGGGCTGGACATTTCGGCCCATTTTTAATTTGGAGGCCTCCTGGTAAATCAAATAATAAGACCCCCTTTAAAAGCCCAAGAAAGTAGTTGGGCCTTCCTTCGGGAACTATTTCGAAACAGATCAGATAAGTAATTTGGGCCGACTTGCAGGCTAGACCCACTATTATTTTGTGATCATCAACCTAAAAGAAAAAAAAAATGTATAAACTATGGGTAATTAGCATAAATGGTAACACAACTATTCACTAAAACTGTCACTAAACTTCGAATTTACATTCGGTGAAACATGTTTGGAGTTTGGACGAATACCAAATCGGTCAATTCGTCCAATTCCATTCAAAAATCCGTCCAATGGGTATAGTCACCTAGGTGAGATGGGGTACAGTAATGGCAAAGTGGATTACATTGACTATGTCGATGTTGATAAATTGTCAATGATTGAAGTGAAGGAGATGGCAAAAATAGTTGAGGTGGAGCAGCCTTTGCTGATTTTTTTGGAGGATGCCTGGATTCGATTTTCACAATGGATTGAAACTGTTGGAAAATGACAGTGATGTATTAGAGATGGGATGTTACGTTTATGTTGACAAAATTATCCAAATCTTTGTCAAACACATTGATTCCTCTTGTGGCAACCCGGATACAGCGCACATGGTTCATAGTTGGAGAAGGGAGGAGGAAGTAATCAAGTTGTCTTTTGGGTCGGTTCAAATAGGACGACGAAGGTTACAAAGAGGAGGGAGATAGACCAAGGAATCCACAGGGTCAAGTCATAGAGGGCCTCCACCTGCACCTACCGTTAATGAAGTTGTTGTAGATGAGGATGTACTAGAGAGGGAGGATGACTATGCAAGTGAGGCTGAGTTGTTGGAGAAGACTGGCTGGGGCAGCGAAGAAGACGAAGATTTTTTAATGTAGACACTATCCTCCCAGTGTTTCAGGCTGAAAGGGATATAGAGGTTCCTGAGATCAAGATCGGCCAGCTATTTGCATCATTTGATGATTCAAGAATGCTTGCAAGTCACATGCTGTGACTCAAAGAAGGGATGTGAGGTTTCCAACTAATGACAAGAAGCGCGTGATTTGTGTGTGCCAACACGAATGTGGGTTCAAACTGTATGCTGCAAAGGTGAAGGATTGTGATACTGTGCAAATTAGGACGGCCAATCTTGAGCATACTTGTGGTGTTGGTGAAGACCTAAGGGCTGTTGCACCCTCTTTTCTTATGAAGAAGTACTTGACCAGGTTTAAGGTAGATCCTTTGTGGTCAATACCTAATCTCGTCAATAAAGTCATGAGTGATTTAAGCTTGAAGATTAACCGGATGGAGGCTTACAGAACCAAACAGCTGGCTCTGAAAGTGGTTCATGGTGAAGACAGCCTCCAGTTTGCAAAGTTGTATGCATATAAGAAGGAGTTGGAAGTTAGGAATCCTGGTACATCAGTGGTGATTGAGCATAGGCAACTAACATTTGAGAGCATCTAAATCTGTCTGGGGCCACTAAAATAAGGGTTCAAAGCTGGTTGTCGGAAGATGATCGGGGTGGATGGTTGTTTTCTAAAAGCTATGCCCCGATGGCAGCTTCTTTCGACTGTGAGGATCGATGAGGATGACTGTATATACCCAGTTGCATGGGCAATAGTCTAGAAGGAGTGTCACGACACATGGGAATGGTTCATGGCACATTTGGGAGAAGACTTGGACATAAACCAATCATCAGACTGGACTTTCATGTCTGACCGACAAAAGGTAATTATTTTTTATCTTACCTATTATGGGGTTTACAATGAATTTTGCACATACCATGAATTAGTTGAATTAATTAGGATTTGATGCACTTCAGTAGGGTCTGATACAAATTAGTAGGTTCTAATGCATTTTGCACATTCTATGAATTAGTAGGGTATTATTAGAACATGGTTGTTTCTTACTTTCTACTATATTATCCTTGTAGGGTCTTATGTATGTGATGAACTCCATGTACACTAATGTTGAGCATCGATTCTGTGTAAGACATATGTTTGTCAACTTTAGTGGGATGTTTAGCAGGTCGAAGAGGCTGCGGGATCTCTTCTATAGAGCTGCCAGTGCAACCTATTTGGCTGAACATTTGGCAACAATGGAGTAGTTGAGCACTGTTGGCAAGTGATATATGATTGGGGATGAAACGCCCCATCAATGGCTCCTGGAAAGGGACCGAACACAGTGATGCAAGGCATTCTACAGAACTTCGAACAAACTTACATGGGTGTTAACAATCATTGCGAGAACTTCAACAAGTACATCCTCAAGTCATGAGGCATGCCAATTCTGTCGTTCTTGAAAGACATCTTTGAAAAAGTGATGAAGAGATTAGTTGTTAGAAGGAGGCAAATGGAGTGACTCGAGGCGAATGGGACCAGTGTTTGTCCTAAGCCTATAATGAAATTGAACACGTACAGACAGTGGGCTTCCATTTGCTTCCCAACCTTCAATGGGAACATGGAGTACCAGGTGGAGTCGTACAGAGGAAGGTATGTGGTGGATCTGAGGAACCGAACATGCGCGTGTGGTAGGTGGCAGTTAAGTGGCATCCATTGCCAACATGCAATTGCCTGCATGAAGATGAACAAGGAGGAGTCAGAACTGTACATGGCTGATTGCTATCGTGTCGAGGCTTGCAAGAGGTCATACTCTTTTCCAATCAGCCCTCTCAATGATTCCAACCAGTGGATTCATGAGGATTTTCTTAAACTTCAGTCACCGAAATTTCCAGAGAAGAAAAGGGGTTCTAGACAAACAAAGAGACGCAAAGAAGCATGGGAATTGGAGAAAACAAAGAAAGACAAGCAAGGAAGATAGTACAAAGCAATGTCAAAGAGTGCAATTGCCATAACATGCATAATATGCGGAGAAAAGGGACACAACAGTCGATTTCACAACAAGGTATAATTCTAAACCTGATTGTGTGCTTTTGTACCACATTTTACATGCTTTGCTTGCTGATGTTTGCTTGCTAAATGATAGGCAAGCTCTAGATTTAGATTAAAGTCCAATTATGCACAAGGTTCAAGAAAGTGCTAGGCGTAAGGCAGTCGTTGAGGCAGTCCCTAGCGTCGTGCTCGCTTTGGCACGCTTAAGCGTTGGAAGCAAAAATAGTCGTTTTTAATAAATGTTCGATGAAATTGTTGTTTTGCAATACTTTTCAATTAAATTTAAATAATTAATAACTTAACAAACAATATGATGAATTAATTAACATTTAACAATCTCTTATATTTGATGTACCACATATTAAACATGTATAAAATGTGTACCACACGTGGAACACATATTTTAGGCAATTTAATTGATGATTTCATTATTGTTATATGACTCTATCTAGTCATAATAATGTATAAAACTATCTATATGTAGTAATTTAGTACCGTTATATACTCATATAATATTTAACTAAATAGGCGTGCAAAACACATAAGTAATTACTAACAAAATAATCTCATCAAACCAAAATGAAAATTACTCCTCTAGATGATAATTATTGGTTAATTCACTTATGTATATCCTTGTATGTATTTGTCTGTACACGTACGTATTATATATATATTATTGTAGTTGTATATATGTAATTATATAATCATTGTGAAAAGAAAAGGCCGGTGATAAGATTAAAAACCTTACCTTGTATTATATAACACTTTGTGCACCGCTTAATGAATAAGTGAAGCGTTTTGTGGCCGCCCCGCGCGTAGTCACGCACAAGCGAGCGCTGCTTATGCATTATATCTGACTTGTTATATTCTATATTGTTTCTTTATGTATGCTTACAGAATCGTGAAGGTAATGAGGAACCACCTATGGCAGCTCCATCTCCTCTACATGGTGGAGCATCTTCAGTAGCTGCATCTCCTCAACATGGCGGATCATCTTCTCAACCTGTCGATGGAGCCGACATATCCACCTTCATGCCTACTCCATCACTTCCACCATCATCTTAGACCAATGAAGGGGAGATACCCTCCTGCCCCTACAGAACCAAGGTCGTTGTTAAAAGGGGTAGGGGGCAGGGGTAGGGTAGAGGTAGGGACAGAGACAGTAAGTAGATGATTAGGATGACGGGCAACTCCAGGCATAAGATAATTTAGTAGTAGACAATCAACATTTTGTAGTGACATGCATGTCTAACCATATACTTTTGAACATGTCGATTGCTTGATGGAACTATCATCATGACACAATCCATTTTGTGGAGCTGAATGTTTAAAGGGAGTTGTTGGTTTTGATGTGGCCAAATTGTACTTCATTGCAGGTCTATAATTGTTCGATTCCAGCAGGTCTATAATTGTTTGATTACAGTTCCAAATATTGTTTGTTGAGGCTTACTCGCCCAATTTTGATGCACGATAGTTGTGTGACCATTTTGTTACAATTGTTAAATCCTCGTGACCTTTCCAATAATAAGTGAATTGTTCTATGACCGTTTTGTTACCGACGTGAAAGATATGTCACCATCGACTATCATGGTTGAAACACAACACAATCATTGCCATTACGAATTACAGATCCAAACACAGGGTTTACAACCACAAATTCAACAAAGATAATCCATTTCATCTTACAAATATCTGCCAACGACGATTCCTACACTCACAAAAATTACTACGTAAATTAAATTCATCATCCGGGCAAGGAGATCTTCATTTCGGTTGCCCATTATCGGTTGGAGATCGTTTCGTGCAGTAGATGTAAAAGAAGCAGTGGCACTCTGCTGTGAGTTGCACTCCAGCTGACTCTCTTCCCTTGCTTTTCTCTCCATGTTGTTAATCTTCCTCAAAATCCCATTGATGAAAATTCTTGCCCTAACTTCAACAAGAGGATCTACCCACTCAAAGAAATCGCAATGGTGGGGATGTTTCTAGGTAAGATGAAAAAGGGGAGGATGGTTACCAAAGCTGCCCATAAATACTGCAAAAATCAAACTAATTGCTCATGCTTACCAAATATTTTCTCTTACAACGGAGGAACCTTCTACCCAGATTATCTTCAGTCCATGACGTTAGCAAGACAACTCTCTCCAGGCACTTGCACGTAGGTAGGGAGCTCATGGCTGATCATAGCCTTTAGAGAAGAGGAAATATATTAGGTTTAGAGAAGAGGGGAAACAGATTTTATGCCTGTTGTCTTGATTGGGGATCTATTCTATTCTCATAGGTATATGTCCAGGTCGGGTTGGCTTGAGTTGGTTTGGAGTTGGTTCGGTTAGGGTTTGCTGGTTGGTTATGTTATTTGTTTATTCATTTATTTGATGACATGGAGTGCTGATTGTACCCACTAGACGGATTGACCGATTTGGTATTAGTCCAAACATGTTTCACTGAAACGTGAAAATTTGAAGTTTAGTGACCGTTTTGTACAAAGTGAATAGTTGTGTGACTGTTTATGCTAATTACCCAATAAACTATAAAGTATAAAGTGCAATGCAGTGATTGATTGTATTGAATTGGTCTTAGTGGGGTTTATTTCCGTGGAGGGTTTGACATTAAGGGTTAGGAGAATGGATAAGATTAGATAAGATGACGCATGACATTTGATATTGGTGGTGTAGGTCTGTAGGATATCTACCTACTGTTGCTGCATTATTATTATTAGAGGTGGCAATAATGATCCAAACCACCAATCCGATCGGATTCAATCCATTTAAATTGGATCCAAATCCATTTAAATTGATCCAAATCCAATTAATCCATGGAGTCATGGATCCATTAACAATCCAGTAACCTAAACTGTTCAATTTTCAGCAGATCCATTTATTCGGAGATTCGAAACTCCCAAAAGCCACCGCGACTCCGTTGCCTCCGAACAAAGCTGACTGTTGTTCACTCGATGTCATTGTCGGCGGTGTTTCACCGCATCCCTTCAATCTTGAACCCACCACACTGCCGCATTCACCAATTTTAGACGTCGCCTCCCTCTCCATCATTTCCCGTCTAGCTCCATCAAGGAACGTAATCAATCCATTTGCCCAAAACCTCAAAGAAACTTTGTTTGCCGCTTCGCAGCTCCCCATCATCGTCGAAGCGTCCTCTTCCTTGAATAATTTTAAGCTCTTATCTCTTCAAGTACATCATCATTGAGGACACAGGTTGTAAAATTGTGCGGAAAAGTAAAGAGACACTTGATTTTACATGGTTCTTCCGCATATTGTGTGATGCATACATCCACGGGAGAGTACTCCGATTTCTTATTGATTTAGCGGCTTGATAATACAAGCCTCCTTTATATGCCCTATTACATCAATATCAATTAGGGTTACATCGTGAGAATAAGTGGCCGAATCAAATACGAGACATACGGCTGCATGGGCTGCATGCTATGGACGTGGGCCTAGCGTCACGTCCTCCTCGTCATCACGTGAGCCTCGGTCCGTTACTCCCCCGCAAGCTGGAGCGTGAAGGTCACGAACGTGTAGCTTGGAGAGAAGAAAGCAAAACCTATCGGCACCAAGACCTTTGGTGAAGAGATCAGCAAGCTGGAGCTCGGAGCTGACATTGATAGGAGGGATATGACCATCCTGCACACATTCACGAACGAAAAAGTAGTAGTCCATCTTCACATGTTTGGTCCGCTCATGAAAGACCGAATTATTAGCAATGTGGAGAGTGGCCTGGTTGTCACAACGCAGAGGAGTCGATGTATGATGTGGGAAACCAAGTTCACCAAGCAACCAACGAAGCGATATGATCTCACTAATATTACTGACCATGGCTCGATACTCAGCTTCTGCAGTTGAGCGAGCAACAACACGTTGCTTGGTACACCACAAAATAGGGGTGCCACCCAAAGTGATGAAATACCGTATGGTGGACCGCCTGGTAATCTGCACCCGCCCTAGTTCGCGTCGCAGTAGGAGATGAGTTGGAGAGGATTATCAGCCGGGAGAAAAATACTCTGGCCAGAAGAAGACTTAAGATATCTGAGCACATGGAAAGAAACATCCAAATGCATATGATTGGGAGCATGAAAAAAACGGCTAAGAATCTTCACGACATAGGTAATTTCAGGCCGCGTAATGGTAAGATATAATAGGAGACCCACTAATTGACGATACTGCAATGGATCAGATAAGATCTCCTCAGAGGGACGAGTGAGCTGGTGGTTCTGCTTAACAGGGAATGCACTCGAGCGCGAAACCTAAACACCAGCGTCCTCCAAAATATCAAGAGTATACTTGCGCTAACTAAGCACAGCGCCAGTGGCTATCCGAGCAACCTCGATGCGAAGAAAATAACTTAAGGGCCCAAGATCCTTGATACTGAAACGGTCATCAAGGAAATGCTTGACCAGGGAAATGAAAGGTAGATTATTCCCAGCTAACAACACATCGTCCACGTATATGAGTGCGGTCACAAATGTGATCCCCAATGATAGATAAATAAAGCAACATCCGTAGGAGACGAACGATTCCAAACTCCACCAGAGTAGTAGTGAATCTCTGATATAATTTGGAGAGGCCTATTCAAGGTCGTAGAGGGACTTGCGAAGGCGATAAACTCGTGTGTCTCCTGGTTGTTGAAATCCATGTGGAATTTCCATATAAACTTCTTCATCAAGGTCTCCATGGAGAAAGGCATTATTGACGTCGAGTTGGTTTAGATGCCAACCTTTGCTTACTACCACGACAATAAGATACCGAACCATGACCAGTTTAGCAACAGAGGAAATGTATCATGAAATTCCAAGCCTTCGATATGCGTATAACCCTTAGCGACCAAACACGCTTTAAAGTGCTCGATGCTGCAGTCAGGGTAGTACTTGATTTTGTACAACCACTTTGACAGGATAACTCGTTTACTAGGTGGAAGATGAACCAAAGCCCATGTGCCATTCGCCTCGAGGGCCAAAATCTCCTTAGTCATGGCAGCACGCCACCTTGGGTCGTTGAAAGGTTGGAGGAAATTGCGGGGTTCCTCTTCACGCATGAGAGCTACAAGGAGTGCAACCAATATTGAGATGTGTTTTGAATTGTTTTATGAAATTGAAAATTTTAGGGGTTCCAATCACAATTGTACCTAGCATGATCTTGCTCAGTGTGCTTTGAATTGTTTTATGATTATGATGGTGTGCACTATAGGGAATAGTTTGGTTCTATGAAAATTCTTGATAATGAGTGACTTCACATCGATTTCCTCTCGGTTGCGTGAAATTGTCTGTTATGGAGGTTAGGACATGTGTGTAGGACTCCCCAGTTTAGTACTCTGAAATGCGTTGCAAAAGGTGCTCCAATTTGAAAAAATATTTTGAAAATTGATGTTCCGACATGAGAGGCAACCGACATAATGTTTGAGTTGAGTCGTCGAAGGGCTCTTCTCTCTGTTCAAAGTGCCAATTGAGGATGTGTTTGGGGTTCGGATAGCTTTCTAGCATTCCAATAATCTTTCACTACCTTCCATCCCCCAAACACCTCACCTCCTCACAGACTTGTATGGAGAGGAGATAGTGTGCCTTTAAGTGAGTCACGAGACCTCGACTATCGTTTGCACCCGACATGTGTGGAAACCCATCTATCGTTGAGACATGGAGTGCATGTTGGGAAGGGTTGCTCGAGCAATGAATCAGACCATCATGTTTCCCACATGGGGTTGAGATTGGGAACGCAATGATCCTTTCTCTCTTGGTCACGAGGAAGAGATGCCTTGATTTTCAAATTTGCAAAGTGTGGTGTCGTGCATGTCAAGTTTAAGTTGAGGCTCGAAAAATTGAGTCCTCATTTGAAAAGTGGGAGCATCACCATGGAGTCCTTGTATTTTCACAAGTTTTCTTTGAGTACCCCAGCTCACACGTGAAGTGTCTAGACCTTCTTAGTTGACAAGGTCCTCAACTGAGAGTGTGCATGGCACGAAGAGATGGAAATAAACTTTACCCGACTTCGATTATTTTTTAGGCGCCATTAGTGCATACCATTGTTTTTTCCCCTACAAATTGTACTGATTTGAGCAGATTGCTTTGGGACAAGCAAACGTTCAAGTGTGGGGGGTTTATTCGGGATAAATTACACACTTTTATATAGTTGCCTTGCATCGTTTTGACTTGGTTTGCACCGTCTTTGGAGCTATTTTATGCTAGGTTTTCTCGTGTCGTGTCATGTCATGTTTTAGAGCTTAGCAGGCAATTTTGGTTCCGGGATCGAAAGTGGTAAAAGAGGGCGATAAGGGAGCAAAATTGACAAAAGTGCGAGGATCACGGTTTTGGAGCTATTATTACGGGCGACAAACCGTGAATTGGACAAGAAAACTATGGATTCTGCACACTTCCAGGAGGTTTCGTGTGGCCCGTAGGCGTTGCAAAGATCACAATATCCAAACCATGAAGTCAATAAGTAACCCATGGAGTTTGTTAATAAAACGATGTGTTTTGTGCCAAGATAACGGTTTCACTACCTACTTCACATGTGTGATGTGAGATCGTGATATGTGCACTCAGGAGCTAAATAAAGGAGAGTGAGCTGAATTTGAAGAGAGAGTTCTAGAGAGAGAGTGAAAAGATCTTCTTCAAGCATAGTGAGAGAAATTTTCAAGCAGATTTGGTGTAAGTCCTTTATATTGAAGCCAATCTTAAAAATATTTGATAACCTGCTTCCCCTAAGATATGTTATTGTGATTAATTAACGGGTAGTAATACATGAATTTTGAGGAAATCAAAATTGGGAAACAAGTGAATCAACAAATCACACAACATTTACTTTGGATGCTTCAAAAAATAAATTGATTTTGACTAAGTACCTAGTTGAAAGGCCATAAAATACTAAAATGGAAAAATAAAGAGAAAATAAACTCTTTGGTAAATGTTTTAGGGGAGCCCGCCAATATCGCGGTGGAAATAAATATTTTTTTTCATCTAGTTTGGGTTAGAATATAATTAAATGTGTCATCTATGGCGAAAATCTCGATTTAATAGTGAATTTGGGACATTGCTGGGATTATTATGACCATGAGTTGAGCGTTATTCCTGGCCTCTTCATCAACAATATATCACCCCTCAACTTTGAAATAACATCAACACTTTACTTCAAAAGAAGCAAACCGAAAAGAAGAAAACATCACCACTTTACTAACATCCGCAAATAATAATTCTATTCTTCCTTCTTGCTCGTGATCGAAACAATAAAGAAAAAGGTTCTTGGTCCAATAAGTTTGTTTTTCCAATGCAGATGATGATTTAAATAATCAATTCACATTGATTTATCCGGTAAGAACAATTACTCCAGTCCATGCTACCTGCAATTACTCGATATCAAGTGGTATTATTTGTCTTTCTTCTTTTCGGAATCCTTGAAACTTATACTATTTAGAAAGAATTATTTTTTGGAGGGCTTTAATTAGATACATTTAAAAACAACTCAAATCTCATTGTTAATTTCATGATTTGGAGTCTATTTGTTTCCTTCCAACCTATTCAAGTAGTAGCATAGTAATGTTAGAACATCAATCCCTTGCAGTTTACTCAATTAAATACAAATAATACAAAATGTTTGATCTTTAGTTTTAATCAAATAAATATTACATCTTATGCCATTTGCAAGTAACGCCTTGCAGTTTACTCGACTCATTACCAGGTCTCGATGGCAGATCTACGCAACCCAATTCTTCCAGTCGCAGATCCTGCCTATATTCCCATCCCCGATGATGATACCACCACCAATTTGGGTCGTCGATTCTCAACACGAAACTACTCCAACAAACTTTTGTCTTCCCTTTTCACTGGATTGATCCTGGTTGGTCTGTTGTTGGCCATGGGAAACAAAAAATCAACCCACACTAGTATCCCTGTCGAGGAAGACAAGATCTTGACGCAACCCCCAATGTCTCGAGGGAAGCCATTGGGTGTGTCCGAGAAGTCTAACCAACAATTGACGATGAGAGATTATGAATGGAATGATATGATGTTGTCATGGCAGAGAACAGCCTTCCATTTCCAGCCAAAAAATAATTGGATGAATGATCCTAATGGTCCCTTATTCTACAAAGGATGGTACCATTTCTTCTATCAGTACAACCCAAATGGTGCTGTTTGGGGTGACATTGTCTGGGGCCATGCTGTCTCCAAGGACTTGATTCGTTGGACTCATCTTCCATTGTCAATGATTGCAGACCAATGGTATGATGTGAACGGGGTCTGGACAGGGTCAGCTACATTCCTTGTAGATGGTAAGATTGCAATGCTCTACACCGGCTCTACAAACGAGTCTGTTCAGGTGCAATGTTTGGCTTACCCCGCGAATCATGATGACCCGTTGCTACTTGATTGGGTTAAGTACTCCGGAAACCCGGTCCTAGTCCCACCTCCTGGAATCGGGCCGAAGGATTTTCGTGACCCAACAACGGCTTGGATGACCTCGACAGGGAAGTGGAGGTTTAGTATTGGATCTAAAATTCACAGGAAAGGGATTGCTCTCATTTATGACACACAGGATTTTATACATTACGAACAGTTGAATGTTACACTCCATGGTGTTCAGGGAACTGGAATGTGGGAATGCGTGGATTTTTATCCTGTTTCAACAACACATTCTGATGGGTTGGACACATCTGCTAATGGTCCAGACGTGAAGCACGTCCTGAAGGCAAGCCTCGATGATGATCGTCATGATTATTATGCATTGGGGAATTACCAAGAGGAGACAGGGGAATGGGTTCCCGATAATCCCGAGATTGATGTTGGGATTGGAATTAGGTATGACTATGGTGTGTTTTATGCCTCCAAGACATTTTATGATCCGATCAAGAAAAGGAGGGTTCTATGGGGATGGGTTGGGGAAATGGATAGCGAAGCTGCAGATGTAAAGAAGGGATGGGCTTCACTCCAAGGGTTTCCAAGAACAGTTGCTATGGATACCAAGACTGGGATTAATTTGATCCAATGGCCTGTGGAAGAGGTTGAAAGTTTGAGACTAAGGAAACAAGAATTCAAGGATGTGGAGCTCAAGCCTGGGATGGTTGCTCCCCTTGACATCCAGTTCGGAGCTTCACAGTTAGACATTGTTGCCGAATTCGAGCTACAAAAAGAGGTGGTACTAAATAGCACAACCTTCGATGAAGAATTCAGTTGTTCCGAGAGTAAAGGGGCAGCCCATCGAGGCGCATTAGGACCATTTGGCATTCTGGTATTATCGGAAGAGAGTTTGATTGAGAAGACACCAGTTTATTTTTATATTGTCAAAGCAAAGAATGGAACTTTGAGTACTTTCTTCTGTGCTGATCAGTCCAGGTCTTCTTTGGCCACTGACGTCAATAAGCTAATATATGGGAGTTATGTACCAACACTGGAAGGTGAAAAGTATTCAATGAGGATTTTGGTTGATCATTCGATTGTCGAGAGTTTTGCTCAAGGTGGTAGGACTGTCATCACATCAAGGATTTATCCAACCAAAGCAATCAATGAGAATGCCAAGTTGTTTTTGTTCAACAATGCTACAGAGGCTGGTATTAAGACTTCTCTTCAAGTTTGGCAAATGAATTCTGCTAATGTGCCTGCATCAAAATCAACTAAAGGAGGTCCCAAATTAGATATTGTCATCTTCTTTAGCCTTTTATACTTGGTGCTTAATTTTGATCAATTTTGTGACAAGAGTCTTGGTTTTCATTTCTGAGACAATAATAATAATGTGGTCATGAGCATAACGACGAACACATAATTGTTGTACTGTCAATTCCATCTTTAAGTGTCTTTTTATGAAAAATGGATTATAGAGTACCTAGTGTCTATTTTTCTTTATGCTTTAATCTTGTTCGAGCTTCCGCCTTTCTGGCAATAAGTGGCATTTTCTCCCTATTTTTAGACTAATCTTTTATGTGGGTCATCAATTCATGAAGCGGGAGTAGGGAGCAAGGAGAGCACTAACATTATATTAATCTTATTACATATTTTCACAAATTTAATTCGACATTAGAAAAGATAAATGTTCATTGTCATAATATAAGGTTGATCAGAAAAATACAAAGGTTGTTTAACTTGGAAAAATAAAGAGTGACATCAAGCATCACAATACTCTCATGTTCTCAAAATGGATCGTCCCATTCCATATATTGTTGGACTCGTCCACAATGTGTACAACAATGCACTTATGAGAAAAAGATTCAATGGGCCCAATTTAAAGTGGTATCCAATCATTAAAATAAAAATGTTATTTTACTTCTAATCAATGCTCCATAGCTCTCTGATATCAGCTTACTTAAGCCTCCCAAGCCACCTTCACCCTTTTAAGTGCAACATGTTTTTGTTTTTTGGAATCCACTAAAATTATGTTCCACAACACTCTAAAGAATACTCTAAAGTTTTGATTTACACGGCTTGTCATCTCGTGGAGATGACCAAGAAAGTAGCCAGTAGTTCTATAATTTATTATTCTATAGCTATTTTGTTGATTGTGAGTTAGATCTATATTCTGGCTTCTTAACTCCTTTTATAACCTTTGACAACGTTCATGGTAAGGAGTTAAATTAGGTTAATTACAAAAATTTCCAAAATCAAACACCATCATCAACAAAGTCTAATACTCCCCCTCAAGTTGGAGAGTGAAGCCACAAATGCAAAGCTTATAGAAGAAAAACTAAGAATGCTTCATTCCCAAATCCTTCTTGAAGATATCGATGAGATGCAATGACGTGCCAACCTTCAAAGGGGACACCTCTCCAAAATCCAACTGATTATGGTCTCTTGATCTCCAAATGATTTGTGTACTCATGGAATACAAGATTATATGGAATGTGAAGGACGACTTGATTATCACGGCTATGTTGTGAAAACCACAGCTCTTGCTAGAGAAACATCAACCAAAGTATCTCACTATGGTGGCTAACCATGGCCCTATACCCTACCTTAGTTGGCAGTCGAACCCATAGTAGTCAAAATCTTGATTTTAATCTTAAAATTCTAAGATTTTACGATCTTACCTATGAGTTTCGATCCTGATTTTACTACTAAATCTTTGAACTTAGCATCCCATAAAATCTTGATTAAAAATTGTAAAGTCTTTTAAATCTATGATTTTGTACGATTGCAAGGTCCATCTCAATTTATCCAACATCAGGCTGGTCAGATCTAGTTTTGCATGAACCAAGGTAAGTTCACTTCCCCCGACCCAACATCATTGACAACACAACCTTAACCCGACAAGTGATCCTCAATTAATTTCCATTCTTCAATTCACACGCTGACACCCAACTTATTGCATTATAGATTTCATACATCACTCTCCCAATCAGCTTGTTGTTTGTTCCCCCACCCCCCTCACAAAGAATTAGCTTGTCTCCCAAACCTGGGCCTTTGTACTTTGCCTCTCGTTGGTTGAATCCTGAAGTTCATCATGATAAAGGATTTTGATCCGACCCTAATGATATATAACTAAGAGTGGGGTTGAATGAAACTATGGAAATATTGGCAAGTATCCTCAAGAGAAACTTAAGATCATGGAACAACTGCCATAATTTTGCAATGCTAGGGGAATGATTAATTCTAATAGAGCAATGCAATTGTTAGATAGAAAGCATCATGCATACTTGTGGAGTGATTTAGGGGATGATGTTCCTTAGCTTCAAAAGTTTACTATTATTCGGATTCTCAGCTTGACTTGCAACACCTTTGGTTGCAATAGAAATTGGAGTGCATTTAAGAGCTAAGTTTTCTATAAAAAAATAATTACTTCATATTAATTTGTATCAGATTATTATGTTCGCTTACCTCAGTTTTTTATTTTACGTAAAATCACGATTTTGATTGTATTGGCACCACCATGACTCATTGTTTCTTTGGCACACCAAGAGGCAGGCACATCCCCATCAGTAATATAGTAACCTGTAGTAGAATGTCTCGTCGTCTCACAACCTGCCCACTCGATGTCTCTATTAAGTAGTAAAATGAAGTGAGCATGAAGCATGCAAGAAGATACCCTAATCCGGAGCTTCCTACAAATAATGAAGCACTCGACTGACACCCTAAGCTTTGTATAAAATAGATGAGATGACCAACAAGTCGCGATATGAGCTAAGATCATTTACTCGTTCCCCACTAAGACGAGTAATTGTGTGGCTTTGCTACATGGGAAACCCACTAAAATGAGATGTGTCAACTCCAACAGTTGTCAGGATGTCTAGCATGTACTTGAACTGATCAAAATCCTTTGTGACTAGCCTTACCTTATGTCTTTCCATTTTTCTAGTTGGTTTGTACTTCACCTTGTAGACCCATTTGAAATTTATAACCCTCTTTCCTAGTGGTAGTGACTCTAATGTCCAAGACTCATTATCCTCTGATGTCGTTGTCTCCTCCTGCATGTATTTTCTCCAACAAGCATGTCGTATGGCTTGGGAGAAATGTCGCGGCTCAACCAATTTGGTAAGGGCCATAAGAAAGCACAATAAGAGTGTAAGAATTGATGATAGCTGACATGATTGCAAATGGGATGATGAACAATAATATCCAAAGAATGAGGCTGATTTACCTCATAACAAACCATGTCTGAGTTAAATTGCTCTATACTAGCATCGAAAGGCTCAGTCTTAGCGATTGTGAGAGGAGTCGAATAGCTCCTTGAAATATCACCATCATTATCCGTGCTAGCATCGATCAACGGAGAATTTCTGGCTTAAAGCTCTACATCTATCAAGGCGGTTGAATCCTCCAGCTTATTGTCGATGGAGTGATTAGCCACAACTCCTATATTGTGTGGAAGAATTAAGGCTTTAAAATTTTGACAGATGCTTGTGTAGCATAACTCCCATGCAAGCAGAGTTGGCAGTGGATTGGATTTATGAATTGGTGAATTCATGGATTTCGATCAAATAGATTGGTGGATTTCATGGTTTGGATCAAATGGATTGTGGATTGGATTGATAGAGCTAAGTGACATCCAAACATTGTACGAATATGAAATTTTTGAAAAGTTTAGGTACTAAAAATGTCATAATGAAAATGATAGGTACTAAAATGTAACTTTCCAATAATATTTTTTATTAAAAATAAAATTTGGGATAAAATTCTAAAATTTAAAAACATAGATACTAAACTATAATTTGTGAACATTCTATGAATCCACCCGTCCAATTAGATTGAGATTAAATGGATTGGATTTCAATGGATTAATTTTAATGGAGTGAATCAATTGGATATTTAAATGAATGAATTGGATTGAATTTAATTGGGGATTGGATAAAAAATGGTTACCCTACATTCAACTCGCCCAAACTCTCCAAAGACCCCCTACATGCAACACGACTAGCAACTTTAAATAGGAAGATACACTCGGGAAAATATATCTCACGAGAATTATAAACTTTATGAGAACAAAAATCATAAACTCGGAGTTTCTTTCGGAGAAACCGAAAATTCGAGAAAATGTCAATTGTCCACCTTCCGACAAATTTTTCCTACCAAGTGTTCTTACCATAAACAAGCCAACCAAAGGCATTAAGATGGGCGTAAACTACTGGTTTATCAATTACCAAGGAAAAACTCTAAAGATGTCTTCTGAGGTAGTCGAATCGAAGGTAGTCGGTTTATGATATATGTAGCATCAAGAATAAAAAGCTCACATGAAATGTAAGTGCTCAACTAGTGTCCAGACAAGTGATGATGTTTGCGTTCTACTACTTTGTTCCCTATTCACCACCGTCTTTAGCCAACCCTTAACTTCATCATGTCAACAATCCCAACTTCCCAACGATCTAAAGTTTCATCGCCAATTTATTTTCCTGGGCACAGCCGTTCAGGGTTGTCGGAAAACTCACCCTTGTTTCCTCTGCTACCACCGTCTAGCTAGGGTACGTGAGCAAGCATCTAGCTAGCCATGGTTTTGGATTTCATAAGCTCCCCACAACTCCTTTTAGAAATCAAAGTTCAAGAGACCCATCATTCATCCAAGTTCCCAAAAGCATATTGTACGTTACTCTTGCCGGAAAATCGCTAAACACATCTGCATACCGCTATTTTGTTGACCCTGATTTGAGAGTTGAGAGGCTAGATGTCAAAATGAATAAGAAAGATCAGAAGCTAGTAGATGTAATATTCACACAAGAAAAAGGGCCACAAACAAACTTGTATACTTCTTTCCAGGAATGGTACAACACATTCATTCTACATCAGCGTATCAGCAAAATCAGCCCCGTTTCGACAATTTTGCATTCCTCTTTATCTTACACTCCCCGTCAACAGCCGCTACTTGTTGTGTGTTGCTCTGCGTGTCAGCTTTACAAGTGCTACAATGCTCTCTCGCTCTCGCTCTCTCCCTCTCTTCGTGTTGTTTCTACAGGAGGACACCCATGGGACAATGGTTAGGATAGAGCTGTTGCCTGTGTGGTTCACTGGTTAGGAACACTTGGTGGGGCTCCATATCTGTTGTTACAAAAAGAAAAACATGATCCTGATATCCAAGGATATAGAAGAAGAAGAGCAGGCTGGTTCCTAGAACTCCTCCGAATCGAAATCTGGCTTTGATGGGTATTCGAGCCCTTGAAGTGCAGGCATTCGTCTTAAATCCTCATCTGAGTAGGCTGGGATGAACCAGTACCATTTATCTGTGCCAAGAACCTGAAGGATGATGCAACAAGCGAGATTATTTTGGAGGGTTCAACACAACCATCAATATTCAACAGGGCCTAACAAGTACCAATCAAGAGACTGGCAGGCCGGGTACCTCCTCAGATTTAAAACAAAAAGGACGCAGGTAACCAAATTTCGGAAGGAATGACTAACCTGTTCGAAGTTTCTCCTTCGTCCCAGATCATAGCGCCACTTTGGTGTGGTTTTTTTCTCGTATGCCTGATCAAGACATAAAATAACAAGACGATAAAAATCAACAAAATGTTTCCAGGCAAAATAGGTCTTCCTTTATAGAATAGAAAATGCAGATTTGATTCGTCACAAATTACAAAGACCACTAAGAAACCAGATTGGACAAAAGTGGATGCATCAACTATTTCTTTAGTAAGAAACAGAAGAATCTGTAATATTTCAACAAACTCAATATTCATGGCACAGGTAGACAAATATCTCAGCGTTACAATTTCAGATACATGTGAAACAGCACAAAGAAAAAATAAAATAGAAAACAATTACCTCAATTGTCGTGGTATTAGCGGCCACCAAAGATAAATGCATGATTAGGAATCCCAGCACACTAAGTGCAAAAGCCAGATTTAGAACTGCCAAGAGAAGCACATCAATAATTTAACATATACCTCACAATTGCATATGGTTGGGAAAACAGGCCCGAGTAAATCTACCAAAAGCAAGAAATGTGGTCGCAAGAGTGCCTGGCGTGCCAGGGATTTCTCCATCGCTGAAGAATGCAATGAAATGTGGTAGCAAAGACACAGTCACTAGGCTTGTTTCCAGAAATGTGTAGACCTGGAAAGTTAGTAGAACAATGAGTTAAGCAAATTATGTTATTGAAATATGAAACCACCGACCAAAGAAGAAGAGAATGGACACCCGTCTTCTATGAGTTACAGCCACAGACAAAACAGTAATCAGACGTCTACATGATTAGTTTTCACATAACCACCCAATCAATCCACTCGACCCTGTTTATATCCCATTACAACCCTTTCCACGGTCTAAGCTTCTATGCAACTTATACGGTTAAAATTTTCAGTTTATACTCTGTGGTTACAGCTGAAAGTCTGTCATGATAATCCTCACAGGATTTCTGGCTCATAATGTGCCAACCAACATACAACTTACAGTCCATCAATTTCCAAGACACTGAATTACATTTCAAGTAGTCAATTAAGGCATCCAATAAAGTGAAATAAAGATATAAAATGGCCCCCAGTTTGAACAATACTGATAATATCCAAAAAAGCCAACCTGCACTGTGATAGGCACCTTAATCCTAAACAAAACCGAGTCACGTCAAGACACTGAATTACACTCCAAGGGATCCATATAAGCCATCCAGTAAAGTGAAATAAAGAAATAATATGGTCCCTGGTTTGAGTCTTGAACAGTCTGATAATAACCAAAAAGGCCAATCTGCACTGTCATAGGCACCTTAATCCCAAACAAAAATGAGACATGTCATGAAGAAACCAATTGAGTCCGTTCCTAAATAATTCAGCACCTATATCAACATAAAACAGCACCCTTGCCATGAATATGTACAAGAACTGCAACTTAATTACTTTCTAGCAAATAATTTTGTTTACTGATCGAACATAACAATTGAAAATAAATCCCTAACCAGCAATTCCTTAGAATTCCTCGGAACAAGGAATACTTGATGATCCCAACTTATATAAAGAAAAATGTAATAGTCAAAATTAACAAAAGCAAAAGCTCACCAAAAACAAAAGGAAGTACTTGTAATTTAATGCGCCAACACAATTTACAACCCAAACACAGTGATGATCCATCTTCAAAACACACCTTCCACCTGAAACGGAAATACGAAAAAAACAAGTATAACATCAATTGTGACTATAATTACAAAAGATCAACAAAATCAGTCATAATTCATATATCTTCCACTCACAAACAGAACAATGGTGGCAACGAGGAGGTTTCAGCTGGTTGCACTTCCTGCAGTACCGTACTCTAGGCTTAGGTAGGTCTGTCTGCACACTATTAAACTCTTGACCGTTCAATGGATCAGCTTCTCCTCTTTCCTCATCAGTAGAAGGCCTCCAATTCGGAGGTACACTACCAGGATCAGTTAACACAACAGAAAAGTAACTCCACAACAGCATGATCAGCTGCCAAAAACATCAACCCAAGTTTCAGTTCCAATATGCGGGATAAGCTGCTAAGTACCCTGTCTATTTACTGGTTCTAAGAAACTATCATTCCTCTCTTTCTCTACTCCTGCAAGCTTCAATTCATTTTCTTAAGCCATCTCACTTTCATAAGACCAACAGGAAACGTAAACCCCTCCTGCAGTTTGTTTCCATCGCAGTACAAACAGCCAACGACTTCAGCACTAACTAGAATATCCTCAAGAGCTTATCTCTATAAGAAATTATGATCTAACATAGTTTAAGGTCCCCAAAACTCCAATTAATCCACCTGAAGCATATTATTTCTTTGGACTAAACAAACGAAAGAGGAAAAAAGGAACAAAATTTTGTTCGAGTCCGTTCGAAGATCTTACCAAGCAATGGAATAGGATCAAGACAAAGAGAGCGATAAGGGAGTCGAGGCCACCATCGTACAAAGCCGGTCCGTAATTGGTCAAAACGACAGCATAGTAAGTGACACCGACAACACCGAGAACCAACAAGATCATTATTGAACCCAGACCTCGCAAGGCAGTACAGAATTTGAAGACATTCCAGGCCATGGCAGCTCCAGATCTATGCATAGTCGGCATAGAACTCCGAATCACCAAAAACCCAAATGCAAAACGGGCAGGAGCAGGAGAAGTTGGAAGAAAGTTGTCTTCTTTCTTTCAGACAATCGGCCGTGTCTGGATCGGAACGATTAAAATTGGGAGCTCGCTCCTTCGTTCTTCTCTGATTCCGGGATTTTATGAATCTAGGGTTTATGAAATTTGGGATAACTGGGATTCTTCCAGATATGCTACAAATCCATGCGAGAGTTGGGGAAAAGAAAGAGAGGGGCAGGGGACTCTGAAATTGTTTTCTTCTAATTATTCTTGCTTATGACTTAGACCTTAGGACTTGGGAGTAATTTTTTGAGAGAGAGGACTTGGGAGTAGTGCTGTTAATAAACCAAGCCGTTCATGCTCATGAACGGCTAGGCGTCCGATTAGTGAAAAATTCGTTTGAGACTTGATTTGTCTTAATTGAGTAGGTTCGCGAATAAGTTTATTAACGAAACGAGCCGAATTCGAGCCATATCATGTTCAGCTCGAAAGCTCGCGAACAAGCTCATCTAACGGCCTTTCATCATAAAATATTGGAATTCATGGAATTTATGTATTGAAATTGGGACAAATATTGTGTTTTGTTTTGCTAGACTTTGATATAG